TTACTGAACATATGATATTATAACTGAACACAGTAACAGTATGATAAACTTTAAGAAAATATACAGTAGGATTCTATGGGAGTAACAACAATATATGAAATACGGTACAAAGGTACGGTACGTTAGGGTACAGTAGGCTGATGTAAGGTATAGAAGCGGAAGGGAAGGTTAGGGTAGAATAGGTTAGGGTAGGTTAGGGTGTGGCAGGATATTTTAGGGTAGGGTAGAGTAAAGAAAGGTAGAGTGAAATTGGGCACGGTATAATACGATTTTCATACACTACGCCTCTTATATTCATTAGGTTGTTCACATGATTCTGCGCCTCCTTATCTCACAAAATTGCTTTGAAAGAAGGTGCAGAGTTAAGTGAACAACCTAATAAAACGACTTTATGCTTGTTATTGTTTTCTTAAATTTACCCTTTAGCGTGATCACGTCGTACGAGGCCAGAATAGTTATAATGTTTTTTGTGTACTGTTATGACCATATTTTAAACGTGACATGGTAAACTTTAAATTTTTTTTTGTTTTTTCAGCTTTTATTGCTTCTTATATGAGTTACTGTATTTTGGGATACTGTAGGCCTTACAATTTTAAAAACTATTCTTTTACGGTATGTTATAGTCTTTTATTATTAAAGCTTGCACTGAATTCTTTGCACAAAACGATTATTTTTAGTATTGGATTAAAACAGAGATTTGTCAATGTAAATGGGGCCAAAGATAGAGGATAATATATCACGCAGACCATATAAATGATGTTTTCAGTCAGATTTCTAATAGTCATAAGATGCTTTGGTTTATGCGTTTTTAAAAAGGTTGAAAAAGATGAGAATCTTTTTTTTTGTTACTGTAATCTTTTATACACAATTTGTAATGTATGAAGAATTACTGTTTTTGTTCATTATTTATTCCGCTACATTGGGCAAGTTTAAAGAGAACACTATTAATTATTTCATACAACAAGTTTCAATTTCAAATTAATAATGTGAATGGGTCCAAAAACGAATAAATGTTTAGCTAGGATAGGGCAGGGTAGTTTAAGGTTAGGTAAGGTTAGGTAAAATTGAGCAGGGTTGGGTAGGGTCAGGAAAAGCAAGTCAGGGTAAAGTAAGCTAGAGTAGGGTAGGTTTGGGTAGGGCAGAGTAAGGCATTGGGTTCTTTATTCCGACTATGAAAGGGGCAGAGAGGGTGGGACGTAGAGGGTGAAATGAGCGGGGTATTGGATGCAGAGGAGTAGGATCATCAAACGTTTTCTTATGTATAATAATGCTACTTCTATAAAAAGTTAGAAAATTATTTTATGATGTTTTTAAATTGGTACATAAAAATTAATAGGTTAGTTTATATGTAAATTGCAGACCTTTTTAACTCTATTATACGTGTATTTATTATAGCAGTGAGTAAAGTACGCCAGTTTGGGTTAGTAAGCACTGAGGTTACAGTAAACGTCAAAAGAAAGGATGAATGTATTTTAAAAGTAACCCTTTTATACAACTAAAAATTCTGTTTTAAACTGAGCTTGATATAGCTTAAAAATTAATTTTAGCATCTAACCTTTTATGTTTTACTTGATAGTAATGTAATAATTTTAATTTATATAATAAAATAACAATACCTAGCTACAGACCACTCTGTAAGACAATCCACTTCAGAATTAGCAAATAATCTTTGACATTTTTTAAACTTTAATTTGAAAATAACAGTGTTTTGTTTTATTTTACACACGTCAAAAGTAAGACCAATAAGTTGAGATGAAATAGAATATTAAGCAACATATGACTTGGTATCGTCTTAATTACTTACTTACTTACACACTTTTCTAGCTAATCCTTCTTAAAGATGGAGTAAGTTGCATTTAGTATTAAAATAGGTATACTATGAACGCAGCGTTAGGTGGGTAAGCGTACTGGGTATTAAAAGAAGAGAGGGGGAAGAGAATTTTTTTTTCAGAGGACGGGGCAGATCAGCACATTGCAGAATAGCTAAGAAATCACAATTTTTTGATTATTATTTTTGGAAACAAAATTTCTTGCATAAAAAACGAATTATTTTGGCACTTTTTTTTTAATGCGCAGTTTATCATAAATACGAATTGGAATAAGTTAAGCTGCTTAAAAGTGCTTATAACAACACATAAGCTGTGATGTTTTTTGTTTTGCACTCTACTGACGTTTTTTGCTATTTTGAAGTCAGTTTAGGTATTGTATATTTATAATATGATGTTCTTTTGTACGCTTATTATATGCTCCACCTTTAATGTTCGGGTGGTAAGATTTTGGCCTGGCAAGGCAGGGTAAAATAGAGTAAGATAAGGCAGGTTAGCGTAAGACAGAGGATTTTTTCTTTTTTTAAATTACTAATGTTGAGCATACAATTTTTGACAAAAGTTCGATTGTGTTATTTACATTACCATATCTTGTCATCCACCCACTCACACCTTAAAGCGGGCTATTTCTTTCGAAAAACCTATTGTTTTTGTGTGAGTAACAGTTTTTCAAAACACAAAAAGTAATATAATATTTATGAAACTTCGAATATAGATTAAAATTGTTAAAAATGTCTCTTAATCTTCAAGGTGTTTTAGTTTACGTGAACATTATCAAAATTTTTACTATAGTTTTTAAACGAGGTTAATGGCTGGGTAGGAGATTTAGGCTTGAAAGAGACGGAAAGGTAAGAGAAATAATAATAAAAATTGGGGCTCATCCAGAACAGCCCCCCAATTCCGTTTCACACCCCCAACCGCCAGTTCGCACCCCCAGTGAAACCCCCAAGCTCCAACTCCAGATCGATCCCACTTGGCCGAACCATATCGGTAATGTCCTAGTTGGGGGTTGAGAGTCGCGCGAGAGAGTGCTGGTCTACCGACTGGCCAGGGCGGTGAACGGAGGAGCAGAATGAAGAATTTGCAAAATTTGCTGCCTTTTATACCCATTTTCATTGATTTTGTAAAGGTCAATTTAAAAAATGAATAATTTTTGACTTTTTACGTGCCGGTTGTAAATTTCATTTTCTGGGGGTGCGATCTACAGTGGGCGGAGGTGCGATTTACAATGGGTGGGGGTGCGATCTACAGTGGGTGGGGGTGCGATCTACAATGGGTGGGGGTGCGACCTACAGTGGGTGGGGGTGCAATCTACAGTGGGGGTTCAAAATTTTCTGCAAATTGAAATTTATGTGAGAAATCGCGAGAAAAAAAAGAAATTTTCAATTTGCTTTTTGGAAATGAGTCTTTGGGGGTATGTTATGGATAAGATCGGTGGGTGCTTGAAATGGTATGGGTAGGGGGGCTATTCTGAATGAGCGCCAAAATTTTTAGTTGGGTTGAGTCTGCTAGGATTTGGAGGGCTATGCTAGGGTAGGTAAGGTAGGATGAGTTAAAACTAATTTTAAAATTTCTGAGTTTTTTAATGTGAATGTTGTTTTGCTTTCTCAATGTTATCAAAAATTTTGGTACATTACTGCTGATAAATATATATTACAATCCAAACCACATTTTTAATGACTTTTGTTTTTTAGATATAACTCAACTATCTCTAAATTTACTTTTGATATATCACAAATTGTGTTAAGCCAGGAGACATGTGGTTTAATGTGTCTTGTTTCCTCTTGTTCTTTATATGGTTATTACTTTCAAACAAAAAAAAGATTTCAGGTCTCTAGGCTACAAACTAAAAACAATTATTTATTGGCACATTTATGTCTTTCAGTTTTCTTAAGATGACAAAATGAGTTTTTAGAAGCAATTTTTCATATTGTGGTACTGTAGGATTTGCTTGATATAGTAAAGGGTACTTAGGCTGATTCTTGGTGTAGTTTAGGGTAGGGTAGAATAGGGTAAATTGGTCTGGAGTAAGGCAGAGTGGGATAGAATAGGGTAGAGTAGAGTACAGTGCAGTATTTCATACAATTTTATTACAAAAGTAAAAATTGTAAACTTAGTGATATATCAATGTCATCTCTGACCAAATTGTCATCTTTGATTTTATTGACGTAAGATAATGCCTAAACGTTTAAAATGATTACAAATACAATGGCTTTTCCGGCTCAAAGTAACCACAAATTACTCCTTTTGCAGATTAATGTAAAGAATTCGATATAGCTCATCAAAATTCGTTGTTTATTGTACCTGCATAGTTATGACAATTTGGTATAATAAGATGTATAAGTATTGTCATAACTTTTGCTGTTGTTATGATAAGCAATGGCATTTTTGTTTTTTTTTATTTTGATTTTGTTGGGTATTTTACTTTGTACGTGTTATTTAATGTTATTGTTAATAGATAAGAGAAAAAAGTGTAAGTAGGTATTAAAAACACAGTTATCAATGTACACGTTTTAATAATTTGTTGTTTACTTTACTGTTGAAGATGTAATTCTTACAACTAATGTTTAAGACGATTAAACTTTTGTTACTGGTAATTTATAGAATTTGTAGTAATTTTGGTAAACAAGGTATTGTATTAGTATAATGTTTTCTAGCTAGGTGTTTAGTTCTTTTCTAAAGTAAAATATTTTTTCTTTATATGGAATAGCTTGTAAAAGCGATACTTATATATTCTTACATTTTCTTGAGGATAATGTATATTTTTGTACTAATACGTTTTTACTGTGAAGATGGGTATATTATTATTTATTGTTTGCCCTGCCTTTGCCATGCCTTTGCCTTGTCTTTGCTCTGCCTTTGCCTTGTCTTTGTCCTGCCTTTGCCTTGCCTTTGTCCTGCCTTTGCCCTGATTTTGCCCTGCTTTTTCCTTCTTTTCCCTGCCTTTGGTTTGCCTTTGGCAACGTTTGCCCGCTTTTGCCTTTACTACGTCTTCACTTTGATTTCGTCATACCTTAATAATATTTTATCAAAAATTTAAAATATAAACCATGTTTTTTCGTTAATCGTGCCACCGCGACTCTTTACCACGCCTCAACAAACAATTAACATTTACACACGTTTTACAGCTTGGACTTTACTATAATCGGGACAGTCGTTCGTATCACACAAAAGATGGCAGTCAACTCGTACATCTGGCAAATGATTGTCTTAGCGCTGGTGTGTTTGGCCTGCACATTCACATCGGCCCAGCCGGTGGGGGTGCTTGGCTTGGAGGCTTTTAATGACAACCCGTGAGTGCTTATGATTTTAGGCTTATTAAGGGGTAAAAATATTAAAATTGATAAAAATAAAAATTCAAAAATTTTAAAAATGTTTGTTTTTTTCGGGCTGGTTATGATAAGGTAGGATATCGTAGGGTAGGGTAAGGTAAAAAAATCATTATTGAGTCTAACCTTGTACTTTTAGTTTTGAACAAGTGCAAATGCGCGAGCGAAAATCCAACAACCTGCGCAACCTGATGCGCATCGGCCGACGCTCCGAAGCACCAGTAGTACCGGGCTTTGAGATGCGACAGTCGCCGCTGGACTACGCCCAATTCTTCCGACCAAACGCTGCAATTTTCTGAGAATCACACCAACTTTAATTAACTATAAAAACTTGATTAATAAGCCATCTCTTGTTTTTTTAACTTATTTTTATTTAGTCAACAACGTTTCGATCGTATAAACAATGTTACAGTAATTGAGTGGACGGTTTGGGGTTTTTTAGAGTTGAATTGATTTTTTTAAATCTAAAAGTTTTTCGAAAATTTATTTTTAGTGTAATTTTTTACAAAAAATATGATTAAAGCTAGCTAATCAATAGATTTTGGTTTCTTTGTACTATACATTACAATTTTCAATTTAAAAATTTGAAATATCGTAATTTTTAGTATTTTACTCTACAGTACAAACATAGTACTTTGGTTTAAAAGCCATTGTAAAAAATAAACAACTGAAAAAAAATCATTTTTTACAGTAAAACAGCGCCACACCTTCTAAACCAACCACAAGATTAACTGTAAATTACAGTAGGTTTATCACAGTAAGATTGTTTATACAGTATGCCATGTTGTAGTTTATATCATGCTTGTTGCCGCTTGGAATGAATGAAAGAGCGAACCCAAATCTGGATTAAATGTTAAAATAACATAAAAATGACATGTTATTGCTTTAAAACACTTAGAGTTTTCTTCTCAAGAAAATATCAAAAAAGTTTAGCGGTATTTTAACGCAAAGCAAGATATAGTACTATAGTGGAAGGTACAGCATAATACCAAAAAGAAGGTATGAAATTAAAATTTTATTACAGCAAATAGTAATGTTATAGTACAGAAACGTGCACAGAAACTCTTTTATTGTAATGTGTATATCTCTTTCCGCAAAACCAACTTAACACAGCATGTCTGTAAGGTGTTATGAAATATATAATACACCCATAGTCAAGAATACCATGCAATATCATCAAAAGTAGAGTAACTGTAGCCCCTTCTTGGCCGTATTGCCATGAAAATGAAAAAGCCAAAGCACTGAAAGCCATCGGCAGTAGATCCAACAAACAAAAGTTGAAAATTTGGGCCGTGACAGCATCGAGTAGAATATACTGTATTTTCGCAGTCTTATCAGTAATGCCATCATGGTTACTTTTTAATGTCTTTCTTAACTGTACGTACATGTATAATGTGCCAGCCATCATGGCAAAGTTAAGCAATGATACGAAGAGACAATTGGCACGTATAAGTTCATTATATTTGAAGCAAACATGATGTCCATTATCGACTGTATCGGCCAAGTACGGTACTCGAAGAGAGAACTCGAGCCGGAGGTCTACAGGGTCGGTTATTATGATTTGTTGGAATATAAACAAAAGAAACAGCGTCAACACCGTGTGGAATGCGATAATGTAAAGGTATATGCGGTACGAATTTTCAAACAAATCCCGCAGCTTGCCGTTGCTAGCCTGAAGAATGTATTGAGTTTATATGTACTTGTAGGTTTGTTGAATTTGTTATTGAATAAAGTCTAGGGCTATGGCTAGAGCTGGGAAACGAAGCAAGCCTGATTAAAAGTTAAGTAGGACCGGGCCTGAAACTCAAAGCTTGGCCCGAAAAGCCCGACCCGTTTGTAGTAAAAAAAATTTGGGCCGGTCCAAGCCGGGCTTGAAAAAAAATTTAGATCAGAACAAGTCTAAAGCTTAGATCCGGTTTGTCCACATGGTTAGCTAAGGCTAAAGCTAAAGCTCTGGGCCAGGGTTAAAGTTCGGGACTAGAGCTCTGAGCTAAAGCTTTGGGCTAGAGATAGGGCTTTCTGGGCGCTAATTTAAGTTAGCGTTTTAGGCTAGGGCTTTAGGCTAAGGCTCTGGACTAGGACTTGAGGCTAGGGCTCTAAGCTAGAGCTCTGGGATAGGGCTTGGGAATTAAGACAAAAAATTTTAAATTGAAAGTAAGTAAAGTAGAAACTATCGCACTCACCGAAGCATATCTGTAAGCCAGTGCCCAAATCATACTCAACTTCATGTTAATACTAGTAAAAATATATAAAAACAAGCCAACATGATTACTGTTACCATACATTGATATTAGTGGATCAAAACTTATGCACGGTGCAGGAAAATTGAATTGTATTTTAGTTACAAATACTACTGCAGTATACGAAAAACACCAAAATATAATGTTTAGTAGGAAATACTTGTAACTTTTCATATTACTAGAGTACTTCAGTATAATAAGTGTCAGCATTGGAGCCATTATTAGTTCGAATACCATAAAAACGTTGATCAGAAGACTTGATGTATCTATGATATGAATGTCGACTTTATGGTTTTGAATACCGTGAATCATGTTTGGTACTAATAGTAGTGTCAATAGTACTGAAAAAACATCTACTACAACATTAGACTTTTAAGCTACTTTATAACTACAAGTAACTTCTAAAACTCTAGAAATTACTGTAGAAAACTATATGACAATACTAAAGTTAGTAAGTATGGAAAAAAGTTAAAAAATATACGAATGTCAATAATAATACAGTCAAAAGCGCTAAAAACAAAAGTTAAGACAAAACTTAACTTTATTGTGTTAGTATAAAGAGAGTAATACAATTACTGCTTTAACATTCATTAAAATTTTCAGAAAGCAGACGTAATTTTATTAGGAGAGTAAATGTCTATATCGCAACAGCTTTCATCCATTGATACATATTTATAATGTTATGTATGACAGTAAATTCAATTATGATCAATAACCATGTTGTTTATATAACTTTATAAGGCACAATTTTGTAAACTATTGTTTAGTATGACTAATCGTAGACTTGAAAGAACGGGCCCAGTCATTTGAAAGAGACTAAACCGGCAAATACTAGCTTAAGGGCCGTCGTAAACCAGGGTCTTAACTAACGTCCTGGAAGGAAAGAGTTGCTTTGCAAATAGTATAAAACAAGTTTGACTTTAACGTTATTTACTTAAGTATTAGTTTTGACCAAAGCAAATTGTAAAAAAGAACAATCAAAGAATCGGACTCCGCTTGAACCATGAAAATTTCTACTTTATACTCAAGACAAGATGTCCTAGTTTAAGTTATATTACTGTAATGTTTTTACAAACTGTCTATCTTTTGACATAACTTCTTTACAAGGCTAAAATGCTTTATAACTAGTACTAATGTAATTTTGGACAGGTAATAAACAGACGTTTAGCTGTTTCTGGAACATTGTTTTACCTTTTTTTATTTTTTGTTGGTCGCTATTCTGTTTGATATCTCACAGTTGTCATAACTTTGCATGTACCAATATGTTGTTATGACATTATGGCTAAATTTTCTACATTATAAAAAAGCGTTTCTACAAAACGTTGCTGTGTTGTTATCGTTAGTAGTTGCTTATGGCGTTAAGTACTTTAAAATCCGTAATTTCCAAAAAAACGTCAATATTTTAGTTTATTAATAAGTTTTCCAGATATGAGGCACAATTTATGTACTTTTATGAATAATAGTTCATACATCTACGTCACCGGGATGTTTGTAGCCGGACAATGGTAAACGGTCTTCTCTAAAATATTATTTATGATTACGAATTATAATATAAAATACTAGTACTACTTAGTATTACAAATGCTATCTTATAAAACTGAAGTCAAATATTGTATATACATAGCTTGTATTAGGTCATATCACTTCATTGTCACCCTCATAAATGTCATAAACTTACGTGACATTAGCGTCGAGTCGGTTATTTACCCCGCCCTTCTTTTCGCGATGCGACTTTCGACTCAATTCTTCGATTTCAATCAGCTGCATCTCCTTGTGCGGTATCTTGAAGTCTTCCAAATGTCCTTTAGGTATGATATCTTGAATCTTGAAGGAAGCACGAGTGTGTGGAAGTTGAGGATTCAGCTTGTTTGGAGTAGCAGTTGGCATTTGATCAGCCAAATCGACAGCCATTTGTTTGGCTATCAATGTGTTACGGTCCAGAATGTAATTGAGTTCTAAAATCGGAGTCTTTTAGATGACTATAAAGGATTTTTTGCTTCAGGTTAGCCCTAGCTTTAGCCCTATCATCAGCCCTAGCCCTAGTTTAAGCTTAAGCCCCAGCCCCAACTTGCCAAAGTCATCATCATCTTCACCAAACGGATTCATCAAGTACTGTCCAACCTTCAGCCATCCCAAGTAGAATAACATTTGGAAGGTGGTGAAGATGGGGAACAGAATTGTAATCTCAGTTTGCATACTCTTTACATCCAGCTTTGGTTGACGACCTAATAAACAGATGAAGAAGTAACCGTAGGTGGCGATAGCTACCACTTGGGTATATACTAATGGTATCTTAACCCAGTCGTACACGTATAACATGGCAAAACCATCACGGAATTTGAATAATTGATCTAATAACATTTGGAATTGAATTGAATCGATCTTCTTTTCAGCGTATTGCTTCTTGATCAGGTTTAACATCCACATGATGGGAACGAACCTGGAATGACAGAAGGTTTTGTTCTAATATATTGTTTTTGGCAGTCTCAAAGTAAAAAAAAAATTTTTTAAATATTTTAATTAAAATTTGCATAAAAGTTGAAGTATAGAAAATATTACATAACAAAACCAAATGAAAATTTTTTTTTGTAAAATACGTTACTTTAAAAATTGATTAAAAAATACCATTTCCCATGGGGAGCATCGAAGTTAGTGAACAAGTCATATTCTTCTTCTGTCATCAAACGACTTTCAACTAAGTGACGTTCTGTTGGGAAACGCTTTAAAGTTCGCACTGACAATGCTTTCCATGCAATGGCTGACTAAAGATGACATTTTTGTACTTTTTTTGCCCTTACCCTACCTTAGTCTACTTTACCCTCTCCTAGAAGTGAAAAAGAAGCCGTGTAGTCCCGGGACAAAAAAGTTTTAAAATTTTAAAAAAATTTAAAAAATTTAAAATTTTCAAAAAGCTCCGGTTCTCATTCCTACCCTGCCTTACCCAACGTTTTTAACATACCTCCAAACTGCTCCATCTGGCCAGTGTAAATCTAGTGTCAATGTTTTCCTTTCCTGGCAAACAAGCAGCAGCAGTCATTATGAACTTGTCTGGCCAACTGATATAGTTAAATTGCTCCCACCAACGTCCCACAATCACAGCGACGAAGAAACCGAGCAAGAATGACAAGGGAATATATTGTGACCCAATCTCACACCAATGTATCCAACCGGTAAAGTATTCTTTTTGCTTTTCGTCTAGGAGGTACCACTAAAGAAAAGACGTTGAGTAATTTTATTTAAAAATCATTCATAAAGTTTTAGAAGTATTAGTAGTAATAAAGAGTAGAAAATATTATTTCAAACAAAAAAAACGTATTTTACAAAATCTTGTGAACTTACTTACCTGAGCAAACAAAATAATGTAGTAAGCAATGTAAAAAGCGATGAGATCTTTGAGTACGGCCTTCCACAACGACCCACGCCATCTCAGCATCAGCGCCGAAAACTCTTCTTCGTAGGAAATCGTCATCCTACTTCCTACAAATTAAATTTTATTACTGTTACTTTAATTTCATATACAGCTACAAGAAAGCGTATTTCACACAAACAATATTTCACTCTTTCACTCCGCTTAGAATTGGCTAGTCTTAAAAATTCAATAAGAGTTTAACAAGGAATAGTTTTAAGATGGCATGTGTTATAGTATATTATTAGGACAAAAATAAAGCTTTTTAGTACAAAGCAATTCTAGAGTAGGGCTAGGATGAAACGAGAGCTAAGGCAGGATTAAAGACCATGAAAAGTCTCCGCAAAACGTTGGCGTTCTGTCGCAAAAAGCATCGAAAATCAGGCAATTTCAATAAAAATTAAGTTTCTCAAGAAACGTCAGTAGGGTGATCTCAATTTGTGTTTACCAATTGAAGACCGATTGCTCAAGCTTTTTGGGAAAAAAACTGAATATCAGAATTGCCTGATTTTGACACAGAATGTTCTCCAACGCCTTGCGAAGCCTTTTAGTACTAAAAGGCAAGGCTGAAGTAAAGTAAAATATAAGACTTTCGAGCAAATTCTGACAGTTTCAATTTTAGACATTGCCTCGTATGTCTAATACTGAGCGACTAAGTCTAAACAGCTAAACTTGAAGACTAAGACTTGACTTGAAAGGCTGAGCTTAACATTGAAAGTGAACCCGAGCTCAGCTTAAGCTACAATAAGCTAAACCTAAACGCCAACAATAGTTTAATTTGAGATGTTTTCTTGCACATAAAAAATCTTAAAAATTAGTTAAAAACTTGCAAATTTTACAAAACCGCCACCGCGCCAATATACAAAACAAAATATAATCACAGAGAAACCGGAAAGAAAGTCTTTTCAATGTCTGCCAATTAATTTCCAATCTTCATCGAGCGTGGCGAGAATTCGAAAAGGTGCGTCAACCAAACTGTTTTTTTAATTTACATTACAACGGACAATGTATATTTGGGTAAATAAACTGTTTTTACTCTCAATATTGATATTGACTTGATTGGCGTGACAAAAAAAGTTTTTGGAAGCTTTTGACGGTCAAAAAAGTATGAAAACAAAAAGTTTTAAAAAATGATACTCTAAGTTAATCTAGATCCTGTAGTACTATATAGTACAAAAACAAAAGCAAATAGTCATATCATCCTTAAAATGGCCCTAAATACGACGTAAAAAGTAGTAAAAGCTAAATTTTTTGAAACGTTTAGAAAAACAAATAGAAAAAGAAATAACACCTACAAGTTTGTCATAATACTTTAGGTACACACAAATTAGTGATAATAAATGAAGCATAACGAGTCGTATTATAATCGTTTTTTGTAAAAATGATCAAATATCTAAAACGACTCATAAAGTTAGTAAAAGTTAACGCAATTTTTTAAAAAATTTTTTAACAAAACCCTAATAATTTTATAATTTTTTTAAGTTAGACACAGTAACCTCTTCCCCCCCCCCCTTCCACTCTTTATTAATTTCACGTAAAATAGATACTTATTTTTAAAACCATGTTACTGCTGCCTTATTTAACACTGCCTTTAATCCTGTTTTGATTTGCTCTGCACCATTCCTATTTTACTTTGGTTAATACACTATTCTACCATAGTCCTATTCCACACTATTTTAGCCTTGCGTTAGCACTGTCTTAGTATTATCTTAATCATATTGTAATCATATCCTAAACCTATACTAACCTAAATTAGTTTTATCTTAGCTCTCGCCTAGCTTTACCCTAGCCCTACCTTAGCTCTGCCCTAGCCTTACCTTAACATAGCCAAGTCTTAATCTAGTTTTACTTTACTTTAAATTTCTAAATTTATGGTCCTAACTTCATTAATGTTGAAGCTTCAAGTTTACTTTCTTTTAAGACTAAAACTCCTTAAGATCAGCACCAGTAGTGCTCAACTACCCCGTGCCAAATTAAAATGTGCAAAAATAAACATTTTTTCATCGACACCCACTCAATCAGCGGGCTGGCTAATCGATTTCGGGTTGCGGTTAAATGAGCAAATTTGTTTGTAAGGTCAACAGTTGAACCAGCAAAATACTTTTTATTAAAGGCAAGAGTGTTTATAAAAAGAGTAGTCTTTGCAAAATAAATGGCTTTATACTAGGCTTGACCACAATAATTCCGTTTTAGTACTTGTACTACTATATAGTACAAACGGTTGAAGTACTTTTTAGTACTAAAATTTTAAGTACTACCTAGTACTAGAAAATTTTCAAACTTTAAAACAATGGTTTGCACCGTAATAGTACTAAATAGTACTTTTTGGGGCTGTTTAGTAACATACACAAACGTTCATGCATAGTATGTACGTACTACTTTTAAAAACTCATACAACGACTAAAATACTCAATTTTATCACCCAAAACCAAACTTTTAACACAAAACACCAAATATTCACCCCAGCAGTAACAGTTCAAACTGGACTGATTCAGTGCGAAATTAAGTTCACCACAAGGTTACAAGGTCCTTCTCAACTCTATAAATTCAGGTAGTTAAATGGAATTATTTGATTTGCTTTTACATGAGTTAGTTTGTGCATTTTACAAAAATGCGGCGTTTTAAAACCAAATTTATTTCAACGACGCTTCTGTTTGGGGAGCTTCCAGTGTCAACAATAAAAAGTTAGTCATGCAGTTAATTGTGGAAGTGGAGCATTTTGATTCGAATTGAAATTTGATTATTTTTTAAAAAGATTAACTCAATAAAATGAAAAAAAAATTAAATATAATAGTTAAAAACTTTTTTAAATTTTTTTACAATTAAATTGCACCAAAAATCTAAGGAATGCCTTTTTAACTATTGAAATAAGTTTTATACTTTATTTTCAAACGTATGTACATTATCATCATATTTAGAAGAAAACAAAGAACAATAAACATAATAAAAAGAAATAATGAAAGACAAAGAGCTAGAAAATAATCCGTTAAAAGTATCTTATAAAGACTGTTATGGATTCTAAACAAAACATTCGTTTACACTTAAAAAACAAGAAAAATCGATAATTAAACAGAAAGACCAGTAAAGCTGAAAGGCAATCAAAGCTTATGATTATGATTAAATTATTTTACAATTATAAACCATTGTTTAGTCAAGACAATAAAACATTGAAAAATGCGATATTACACATACAAAATTTAAATTGAGATATTAAAAAAAATCTTAAAAAACCTATTATAAGATTTATTATAAAACTCTTACAAAAATGATAGTTATTACTACAGTAAAGTAATCTAACCCTGACCTAGTACTACTGGAATATTCTGTTATTAAATTATCCTCAATTTCTAAAACTTTATAATTTGGACTTGATACGGTAGTGCTTGTAGGTGTTATAGTTGCACTGGACGACGCAATATTTTCTTTTACATTGTTAGTATCAATATCTACATCATTTGATATAGCATATTGTTCTTTTGTACCATTAGAAACAGGAAAAACAATAGCGTTTGCTGTAGTAAACACAATTGTAGCTGTAGGCATGTTTGTAGTACTTATAATAGTACCTTCATTAGTACCATAAGCCCTTACAGTAGTAGTGATATCCACATCATCATTACGATTCAAGTGAGTAGTATAATTACGGTCAATTCTACCTTGAATAGCACTTGCAGTCGAGTTATTCACTGTAACTTTGATAGAAGCCCCAGAAGTCATAGCCGTGACCAGTCTATCAATCATTTGGCTAGTCAAAGTTTCAGTACTATCAGCTTGAGTTATCTCATCAGATCGATCAATGTTAATTTCAGTTGTCCAATCAAATGCATTGAATGGTACGGTGGTAGCTGTTGGTACTGTTTCTGATAATGACGATGTAGTGGTTTGCAGCAAAAACGGAAGAGTAGGTGGGGTCTCAAATGGTACTGTAGTAGGTGGAAGTGATGATTGAAGCTCGATTAACGTAGTGTTTAAAGTTGGTGGCGTTGGTATAGTCTAAAAATGCAAATCTAATGTAAAATTTGCCCTGCCCTACCATACCCTACCCTTTACTTTAAAAAAACGTATTGTTTACACTCACCTCCCCGTTGCCATGCCTTCCTTCATCCCTGAATTCATGGTTGTTAGGATCATTTTCCAATCGAATCATTTCTTCTTCAATTTCTTGCCAATCTGGATAAGGTCCATTACTATCCAACCTTGTCAATAACTTGTCGATCAACGCTTTATCAGCTGTGATATCGACTAGTCGTGAGTTGGTTTCAACTTCGAATTCATTTTCCTTATTTGACAAAACTGAATCTCGAGCATAGAAAAAGCGATGACTCGGAACTGGATTTGGAAACTCTGGCAACCGATTATCACTAAAATAATTTTAAAAAAAATTTTTTTTTGTCAGAACTTAAATTTTTTGAATTTTTGAAAGTAAAGCTGAAATGGCTTGCCTAAAAACCAAAAATTGTGTAACTTACACCTCTTCCTGGCTCCAAACTTCAACTTTTTTGCTTTTTCTTCGTCCATAAACATCCACGACAAGTAACATCCAACAAACCGCGCCAATTTTCATATTGCAATTGAGAGTTTCAATTAGATATTCGAATTGCTTCTAATATCCTTAAACTTTCCAAACTGGATTTTCTAAAACTTTGGTAATAAAACGTATGTAAAATGACATTATATTATACATTGCATATAGAAAGTTTGGAAAAATTTTAATATAAAAATGAAAGTTTTTAAAAAAGTGACTTTTTTAACAATTGTAAGAATAAAAATGTAAAATACGATGTATGCTGTCCTTTTACAAAAAAATCAAAATTAAATCAAATTTTGCAAACTTTTTTCAGTTTTTATAAGAACCATTAAAAGCAAATTACCTTAATTTCCGCTTTTTACGTTTTCGTATACGTATATTCATGCTATAGTAAAACATAACACAGTAAAAATGCTAGTAATTTTCATTAATATAAAATTAAAACACGTAAAACTTATATAAAAATAAAAAAAGGTTAAACATTTTGTATGTAATGAAAGTTTTTCATTTTTATTGGCTTGGCATTCTGTTGCAATCTTTTTTGGGGTTTTTCTGAAGTTTAGTTTTCGCAAAGAATCCATGTAATGGATATTACTTTCAAGGTCAAAGAAGAAAAAATCAAATAAAAAAAGGTTTTTTTAAAAAAGTTTAACGTGGTTTCAAGCCGTTAATTTTTCAATTTTTTTTTTAGTTTTTCCATTATTTTCATTATAAGCCTGAGAAAAAACGATCACTAAGCTCTTAGTCCGGCTTTGGACCGCGCAAAAATAAAAGTTTGAAAATGGACGGGCTAGCCGATAAATGCTAGCTAAACGCCCAAGCCCAAACCAAGATGGCCGACTTAGCCGAGAGGTAGCTTATTCAGTCAAAAAAAAATTAACCCAGTTTAGCCCCTTTATAGCCTAGTTCATACCCAAGACAAAACTTTCTTAATCTCAGTTGTATCAATGTAATATAAAGACTCTACAAACTTTCTACTCTTGCAGCAAAAGAAAAACAAAAAGTTGAAAACCGAGTCCAAAACAAGAGCAGGCTGAAGGTGAAATGTCTTACCGTAGACGTTTTATGTCATTGTTCCAAACCCGAAAAGGTAGATTCAAATTAGGTAAAACACGTTCAATTGGCCTTCGTTTCTTCTCTTTTTCCTGACGTTTACAGCCAGCCGGCTAGAATAATGGTTGTTTTTACGGACTTGGATGATATAGGTATGGAGAGGTCTATAACTGTGTTTCTTTCAAAAAATTTTAAAAAATTTTTTAAAATTTTTTAAAATGAAAAATATAATTTAAAAAGCAATTAAAATCAAGCAGATCAATTCAAAAACAATGTCATTGAACCCAAACCCTCTAAATCAAGTTCTAAAACCCGCAAAATGCAACGTAACCGCCTCTGTGATCCATCATTGTTAAATTAAATTCCAGCAGCTGTGACGTTGTTTATCTTCACTACTGTTTACAGTGCTTATTCGTTTTTCAGTTAGTAATCAGATCTTTTACAGCTGCCTTTTACGCTGTCATTTTCGGACAAAACATTTAATATTTCCTGTTTTCACCTTCTCGAAAACAACGCTACAGTGATGCGACGTGAAGGTATTGTAGACAGTGGGAAGATAGTTATAAACAAGTACAAAAAATATTTAAAGATATGTTTTTTAAGCTGGAAAAAACGTTGAAATGGAAAGCCGTAAAGAAAAAAAGCAAATAAGTTTTAATGTACTATAACATGCTTTTGCGCGGCTTTTGCCTTGCCTTTGCCCTGCTTTTGCCCTGCCTTTGCCCTGTCTTTGCTTTGCCTTTGCCCTGCTTTTGCTCTGCATTTGCCCTGCCTTTGCCCTGCCTTTACCTTGCCTTTGACTTGCCTTTGCCCTGCCTTTGCCCTGCCTTTGCCCTGCCTTTGCCCTGCCTTTGCCCTGTCTTTGCCTTAACTTTGCCCTGCTCTTGTCCTGACTCTTGGTCTGCTTTTGATCTGCATTTTGCTTGTCGTCTTGTCATACCCTATTTTGCTCTACTTTTTGCTGCTCCACCCTCACGTTTTTTTATTAAGCACTACTACTTTTCTTGCCTTGTACTGTCTTGCCCTACCCTGTCATGAACTATCCTTTGCCTATCTATTTGCACTATTATTTTTTTTTAAGTACTACAATTTTATTGACAATAAGCAAAATCTACTTGACGTAAGTGTAAATTACAAACAAACAAGTCAAATTTTAAAAATTAAAAAAAAACAAAAAATCCTCTAAAAAAACAAACATCACAGTGCACGTACACCATCATATCATGAAAACGCAAAAAACCAAACAAAAAATTTTTCGAGAGCTCTGATACAATATTCACGTTAAGTAGTCGAAAAAACAAAAGTAATGGGAACATCCTGGAACTTGCCGTCATTTTCTCTCATTTTCCGTCAAACCTCAGCCGCGTTTCCTTTCATTTTTCATCAAAATCTTTGACGTTTTCAGCGCGCGATTAACGAACATTTAATGGATTTGTCAGACGGCTTTAAATAACATATTTCGGAATTTGAAAGTTTGGCGCGTTTTTTTAAACATTTGTTTTTTGGGTATAAAGATCGGGATAAACGACGTGAAGATATTTTTATTTAAAAAAATATAACCAATATAAAGTATAAAGCAGGTTAAGGTAGGATAAAGTAGGGTGACACGGTGTAGGATAGCGTAAGGTAGAATGAAGTTGGATAAGGTACCGTACAAAGATTTATCCTAAGGTAAGGTAGAGCAAGGTAAGATAGGATAGAGGAGGATAAGACAGCGTAGGGTTGCGCAGAGTAAGGTATGTAAAATAAGATAGAATTTAAAGTATAGCATAGTAAGACAAGGTAAAGTTGAGTAGGATATGGTAGAGTAAAGGAAGGTGGGGTAGGGTAGGGTAGGGTAGGGTAGGGTAAAGTAGGGTAGGGTAGGGTAGGTATTTTGTAAAGTTAAAAATTTTTGTTTTGTTTTTGTTTTTTAACTAAATTTTTATAATTTTTATAATTCTTCCATATTTCCATAACCTTGAATTTTGATTATTCATTGCGTAACAGAATTTTATCGTTTTTCAGAGCAAATAAAAAAGACCCGCACCTTTGAAGGATAATATCGAGAAAACGAAGGAAAAACGTCTTGAATACTGATTTCCAAATATTTTTTCTCTTTTACAAAACTTTGTTTTTTCAAATGGAATAGTTAGGATATGGAGTCTGCACCTAACGAAAAGCATGAGACAAGTGTAGTGGATGTGAATTATAGCTACGATTATGTAGATTCTAATGTAAGTTAAGGCGTTTTTTTGCTACCCTAGCCTTAGCTTTAGCTCTAACCCACAACCCCAACCCAGAGCCCTAGCCCAGAGCCCTAGCCCAGAACCCTAGCCCAGAGCCCTAGCCCAGAGCCCTAGCCCAGAGCCCTAGCCCAGAGCTCTAGCACAGAGCCCTAGCCCAAAGCCCTAGCCCAGAGCCTTAGCCCAGAGTCCTAGCCCAGAGCTATAGCCCAGAGCCCTAGCCCAGAGTCCTAGCCCAGAGCCCTAGCCTCAAGCCCTAGTCTTTAGTCCTACTCCTACTTTCAGTTTTAGCCTCAGCACTCTAGAGCTCTAGCTCTAGTCTTAGTCTTTCTTTCTACAATGAGATTCTAATGCATATAAAGCTAGTTTGAGCTCTAGCCCTAGTTATGTATACCTTTACATTTCTCTATAGCCTTAGTCATAGCTCTAGTTTTAGCCCTAGCCTTGATCTAGTGAATTTATAAACCTTTAATTTATATACTTAATTTTAGGTTCCAACTGGTGCAATATCATTTGTAGGCATCTTGATATCACTGTTTTACACTGGTGTATTCTCGCAACTACGATATGACAACCTATCATATCTTTTCTTTTTACTGTCTCTCAGTTATTTAGCTTTATACTTTGGATACAAATGTGAAAACTACTGTCTCTACTATCCAATAATTATTATGTCATTTATAACACTACTAGTCACTGGTTATTTTGTATTTTTAGCTTTTGTAGATCCAGAATTACTGTACTATTCATTTACTAGACGACAATATACAGCTAACTTTAACAATGACTATGCTATGATATTTGACTATCTCGGTCCGTCATTGATTATATACGATCTGTTGATTGGGTTGTTCTTGTATAATATTGTATATGATTTTATTGTGCTCAGAAGCAGGTACAATGACAATACGGTCTATTTGTAGTAATTTTTATTTCTTTGACGTTTTCTTTTAATTGAATGGTATTTATTAATGTATAGTTATTATGTGATAGCAATAAATATTATTTTAAATTTTAAAAATCCTTTACTGGCTTTATGCCTTAGGCAAGGTATGGTTATGGAGAGTGAACCTGTTCAGGTTGTGGTTGGGGCTAAGGCTGAGGCTGACGCCAAGGATGAGGATGAGGCTGAGGCTGAGGCTGAGGCCGAGGCTGAAGCTAAGGCTAAAGCTGAGGTTAAAGCTGAGACTTAGATTAAAATTGAAGCTAAGGTTAAAAAACCCTTACAAGCTTTTCCTTATTCACCCCCCCCCCTCGTTTACATGCCGAATACATAATGTTTTTTGAATACTTTATAAGCCATCGTATTATGGCGACGATTATGAGGATACGATACGGATTATGTATTCATCCCGACAGATAATTACAGCGGCACAAATCCAATGAAACCCCTTTATGCCTAATTTCTTGTCGCTATGGTTGTTAGGTGCGAGGATAAACAATACCATATAATGGATAGGCGTAACGGCCATCTGAATATTTCAGGCTGTTGGTAATTTGAATATTCACAATTTTTGACAGTTGGCATGGGTGGGGTACTGTAGGGAATGAGGTGTGATATAGTGGTAAATACGGTAGAAAAAATAAAAAAGCAAGTTTGGTTTAGCTAGACCGGATAGGAATCCTACTAACCTCGGGTAAGTTTTGGCTGTGGTCGACTTCGTGACAAGCTAGGGGGGAGGGGGCAGGGTAAAAGAAAGTTTCAAAAAAGGTTGGGCTAGGCTTGTACATTAGGCTCAAGAGCCTAAACCAAAGCCTGAATAGTGGCAACCTGGTTATAAATAGCACCTAGTCCCAGTTTCTTGAGTGTCATACTAAAGAGTTTTTGGCTCTACTTTTATTTCTTACCATAACGATACCAAACCCGTTAAAATAACATTTAACCCATTCAAAACACTGATAAATCATAATAATCAATCAGTGTTGGACAACCAAATACCTGACATTCAACTGGAAACAATTGTTTTCAAAACGAAGCCAAATTTCATTTCTTGTCCAAACATTTGTTTAGTTCTGTCATTCTTTTATAGCTGCTGTTGTTGATCAGTCATCCTGTGATTTTTAACTTTTGCTGTACTGTACTGACATTTTGTACTGTAATTTTATTTTTGGTGGTATTTTGAGCACTGTGGTACTAAAAGTAAATGCAAAATAAAAGATAGTACAGTATGCTTTTTAAAAGTACCGTATTGTTCAAAAATTGCTAAAACATAGCTGCTTTTTAAAGCCTATCTTTTAGGCTTAAAATTGTATATTCAAACCTAAAAATAAATTTTTGTGCCCGCGGGCTAAAACTTTAAAATTGAGTCATCTTTCCCAAATCGCGTTAAAATCCAAAGATTTATAAGTCCCTATAATAAAGAGAGGTCTCTAGCAATTTGCGTGTCCGCCGAAAGAATAACATTTGTATTGGAAACGAGTGATTTCCCTTCGCTTTTCGATTGATGAGATTTTTAAGTAAATGGCCAAAAAAATTTGGACTAAAAGTAGTGTAATTGCCGGTGTCTTTAAGTTGCGGGCTCTTTGATCTTATCTTTGGGGCGATTCGAGCGGTAAAATATTCAAAATTTGTAGTACTGGTAAGATGGAGGGTCTACTAGGTTTCGGATTATTCAAAATTTTTATTTTTTTTTCAAATTTTAGTTAGTAGGCTTAAGTTTGGTTTTAAACTATAAAGCTTATTTTTAAATGATAATCGCGCGAAGGTTAATAACGCATTAGAATATTCTTATCAACTCTTGATACCTGGCAACCCAAACTCATGGTGATAACTTCTTTATTGCTATTAGAACATGGTTCTCGTGCCAAAAACATACATCAATTTAGAACATTTGCTAATTTTATTTACTGAGTTAATTTTAAAAGTTTTTAATGAGTTGTAGTAAAACTTCGTTAGTATGAGCTTCGATAGTGTGGCATTATTTTTATAAAGTAATTGGCAGTGCAATCTGGTCAATCTTAATCTATTGGAGAATGAAAAAATTTGCTGTAGTAAAGGCTACATGGTATAATCCTCGATAGTGTGACATTTTCTTTTTATTGTCAACTTCTTGACCGCTTTGTAATAGAACTCCTATCAAAAAGTGTCTGGATAGTTGTTTAGAATGACAAGTTTAAACCAGGTTCTTGAGTGTCGACTAAAGAGGTTTTACTGCAACTTTAAAAAATTTTATTTTACCCAAGCGTGATTGACAGAGCAAGCCATTACAATTCACAAATTTTCTCTTTTTGTTCAAAATTGATTTTATTTTAAAATTTTTGAAAACGTGTTTAGTACTTTTATCTCATTATTGAATAATCAAGGCATCATGAAAACGTTTGCAACATATCCTGGTTTTTCATGTGGCACTTTAATAGTAAGTAGGAACCGATTTAAGATGACATGGCTTTGTTTCCGGTCTTTTTTGAACTTATTTTAGAAAGCGCGCGTGAATTTGATTTGCATATTTTTCAGAAACTCTTTGGCGTACTTTAACATGTTTCAATATTTTGCAATTTTGAGTATTGGATTTTAAATTTAAAGGTTTTTTAATGTTTTTTAAGCCTTTTTGACATCAGAAAACATAATTTTTTAAAACATTTTTAGTTTTGAGATTTTGAATTTTTAAAAATGAAAAAAAATTAGTTTTATGATCTATTGATGATATTTATTCTTGTTACGCTAGCCTTGAGACTCTTCAATGTTTCTAGTACAAACATTACTAAATGTTTGGTACAGTAACTCGTAGCTCAATAAATGCTAGTTTAAGATCCTTTTTTTACAGTAACCTTTCCCCGCTCTAAAACGACAGTTTAAAGACGAAACCGCTATTTAAAAATATTTGCGAACATATTAGTATGCCAATTCCGTTTTTTTTTTCTAGTCCAGATTGAATTTCAGCGGCAATGGCGATAAGTGCCGTTGAAAGGGAAGGAGCGCGCGTGTTTATGCATATTCTTATACAAATAGCTAATGTCATACATTAGAAAATGAGTGATCATGCTTTTTGGCTAATGGTTTTAAGCAAGTTTTGGTGCAATCACAAAATTGATATGGGATTTAACCGTTCTTCAAAAATTAAAACTTTTTTTTGTTTTATGAGATACTGTAAGTTTTCGAGCGGGGATATGGTGAGATAAAATTGGGCAAAGATAGTAATATAATAGGGCTATAGGCGGGCCATGAAAAGGCTAGGCTAGTGTAGAGCTACAGTAGGGCTAGGGTAAGCCTAGGGTAGGGCTAAAGTAGGGCTAGGATAGAAATAAGGAGGTCTAGGGTCGGGCTAGGGTAATGCTAAAGTTAAGGAAAATTAGGGCTTGGATAAAGTTAATATAAGCGAGGGAAGGGCCAGAATAGGACCAAAACAGAGCTAGCGCATATGATGGTAAAAATGCCTATTTTAAAAACTTCCAGACCAAACTTGATCGAAAAAACCTTATTTTATAAGTTTTTCACTCATAAAAAACCCCAATTAACCTTGTTACAATGTTTATTATGGTCAACTTTATTTATTCTTCAACTCCGCCCCATGAAAACGACTTCTTTATTTGGAAGCATATTGCGCAGATGTTGAGGGGAAAACACAGATTTATTTATTATTGAAAAAATATTTATCTTGTAAACTTTTTTTACTGAATGGTTTTTTTTTAAACTGAATGGTTTTTTAATTTAAATTTTTTTGAGTTTATATTGAGTATACATATTTGTTGTTAAAATAAATATTTGATTAAAAAATCGTGTAACAGAACTTTTGGCGCGCCCTGTATTCTTCTTTTAATGTACCTGATCTTTTGATAATGGGGTTCGCTATACTGGAAGCTGACAGAAATGGTCAAGCTCACATATAAAATCAGTTTGAGTTAGACTATTGTATCCTGAAACATAAAATTAAAAATGTTTTTTGACTAACAAAATGTGAATTTAAATTTTGCAAAGAAATCAACAGGAATGGATTTGAAATAAAAAAGTTTTTAAAGAGACAGGAGAGGCATTTCTAACCTTCTTTCTGTTTTAGGGGGTTGAGGGTAAGGGAGAAGATTAAAAATTTTCTTATCTGGGCTATATTACTAGTTGTTTTTGAAAATAAACCTGAAAAACCACACTTTAAGTTTTTGAAATGGCTTTAGACAAAGATTCATAATTAATTTTGGTTTAACGTGCCGTGAAATTAGCCGTGAAAACTTGATCTTATTGTTGAGACAGCCGTTATTGAATAAAATCAATATTGTAATTGTTATTTTAATAAAAACTGGCATTTTTCTATCTTTTAAATTTAAAAAATTTTCACTTTTTTACCCTATCCGATCTTTCAAAGTTTTTAAACTTTTTTTAAATTTAAATTATTTTATTTCAGTTTTAATGCCCAACCCAAGATGAGGCAAAAACCAGCTATACCTCTTCCTGTTCTTTCTTTAATTTTACTTGTACATCTATCTACAGCAAACTTTCCTTCAAAACATACCTCAAAAACGAATGATGTTGTAGATAACAAAGCCCAAGAATACTTTGGCAAATTCGAACAAGTTTTTGGCGTTCATGCGGCAAAAGGTAAGGCAAACAGATGGTTATCGTGGCGAGGATCTCTTTGCTCTTAATTATGTTGAGTAATTTATATAATATAAGTTATTATAACATAATAAAGATCTTTCGGTAATTATGCTATGTTTTTTTAATTAGGAAGTTTATGTAGTCTTTTTTATGTAATAGTCGATGGTGCAATAATATGACTTTGGTTAGGAAAAAAGACTAAGAAATGTGCTTGTGCTAGTGAGGTAAAGGGCATGGGCACGGCAAAGCTAAGCAGGGGCTAGGCAAAGATAAAACATTGGTACGCTAAATGGTAGGGTAGAGTAGGGTAGAATAGGGTGGGGTAGAATGGGGTAGGGTGGGTTAGGGTAGGGTGGGGTAGGGTAGGGTAGGGTAGGGTAGGGTAGGGTAGAGTAGAGTAAGGAGGGTAGGGTAGGGTAGTTTTTAATCAAAATTATATCTTTCCAGAACGACCACACCCAACAAGGTACGATGTAGCATCACAACGTGATGCTGTTCGCTACATGCATAAACTCTTCACAGCCAACGCAAAACATCAAGATTTGGGAAGCAATTCGATTATTGCTGTTTTTCCAGACAAAGGTACGTTTTACTTGTTTCCCTTCGAAAAGTTTAGTAAATTTAGTAGCGGGCGGGGTAATTTTTATTGAAAAGAAGGGGTTCTCAAAAATTTTTTTTAATTAGAAAAATTTAATTTTTTTTTAATTACACCTGGCATTCATAACCAAATTAAATTTTTTTTCTGTGTTGTTTTACCTCGCCCATCTCTTTACTGTCAGCCTTAAAACTTTGGAGAAAGAAGCCAGCCCATCCGAAAGCCTAATTTTGTAAAAACCAATGTTTATTTGCATAAGATTTAACATGTTCAACCACTTTCCAAAAGTACTTTAAAACCTTAAGCCTTTGGAAACAAAGTAATTAGTCGATTTGTTTATTTAATCAATAAAACGTCAGATCTCTTGCGGTTTTATGTTAACGATGATACGCTTTTTGAGGTGATTAATCGGCAGTCGTAATCGGAGCGGACAACCGTTGCAAAACCGAATTCTTTTAGGTATTAAAAAATTTGGTCAAAAAAAAGTTTGACTTACCGTCTAACAATTAGTGTAAAATACGTTGTTTGTAAGGAAAAAAAATTTTAAATAAAACACTTCAAAATGCTAATTATAATATTATTTTAGGTCCAAAAACCACCCTCACCTTCAACATCTCTCACTTGGACCAATCTTATGTCATTGACCGTGCTGAGCTTCATCTGCGTACAAGAAAACCCGCTGACCTTCTGAACACTTACATTGACGTTTCCTGCGCCTCATGCTCTACAGAATCTTCTTACCTCAAAGTTAACCCAACATCTTCAGTTCATCAACATTGGCTTAGGTTCGACCTTACTGACCTTGTTGATGATGCTCTTCGTAACAGTCGCGGTAAAATATCAACCGACCCAAAACGAATCTACTCTAACATCAGCTTGCCATTACCATGGAAATCCGCTTTTTTGACTGTAGAGGTCTACAATTCTACAGTAATCCAGAAGAAGAATGAAGTAAAACATAAGAATGCCAAAAGGAGACACAAGAGGTCGTTGGAGGATTACTACAGGTACATGCCTACCAATGATGACAGTGATGAAAACTCGATTTTGCGCGGAGAATACCGTGCTTATCGTGCTGACGATTCTTTGGAGCAGTTGAAAAGTCATGATGAGACGATCTTTAAAAGAAACTACAATATGGTCAAGAATGCTGGCCCTAGGATTCTGCAGAGTCGACCAAAACAGCCGGTAAGACATCTTTAAGTTGATTTTGAATAGGTCTGGGGGAGCTGGCGGAGGGGGGGGAGTTCTTGATAATTAAAGACGGGCGGGTTATTTTGCAAAAAAAAGGGGGGAGGATTAAAAATATTTTTTTTAATTGAAAATTTTAGAAAAAGAAATACCGTAACAAGTTCAGCAAGAATGATCCGATGATGGGATTTGGTCAGAACTATGATGAGTATACGACTACTGAAAAGATACCTTCACTGTCATTCTTTGACAATGAAGTGTCAGTTCAGCTGCTGGGACAGGACAATGGAACCAAAAACAAACATAAAGTTAGTTTTTACTACCCTACCCTACCCTACCCTACCCTACCCTACCCTACCCTACCCTACCCTACCCTACCCTACCCTACCCTACCCTACCCTACCCTACCCTACCCTACCCTACCCTACCCTACCCTACCCTACCCTACCCTACCCTACCCTACTCTACCCTACCCTACCATTCCCTACCCTACCTTACCATTCCCTACCCTCATTTTCTATCCTAGCTTTGCAATTCCCTACCCTTGCCTTGTCCTACATTGCCCTATCCTACCCAAACCAGCTTTTGCCTTTCTCTTGCCTTATTCTTTCGTGACCCTACTTTTTTCTTGTAATACAGTATTATTCAAATTTCCAGCAATGCCAACGTCGAGAACGTACCGTGTCGTTCCGTGAGATTGGTTGGGACAAATGGATCATAGCCCCAAAAGAGTTCCCAGCTGATTACTGTAGTGGAACTTGTGAATTTCCATTAGAACAACAACATCATGCTACTAATCATGCTCAACTTCAGTCGATCTTACACACTTTGGGTGGAGATAAAAGTGACATACCTGATGTATGTTGTGCACCTCAAAAGTTGGATTCTCTGACGTTGTTGTACTACGATGAAAATGGCAACGTTGTACTGAAAAGCTTTCCCAAAATGGTCGTTTCTTCTTGTGGTTGTGTTTAAAATTGTCAGATTTATGCGTTTTCTTAAGGTTTAAACATTTTTTTGGTTTTTATTTTAATAAATTTATACTTACATATAGTGTTTCGGAAATATTTTTTCTACTGACTCTCGACGAGTAATGGAGCTACAACAACGGTCATTACAGGTTCTGAAAGCCTATCAAAAATGACACTTTATGTTAGTTTTTGTACACTAATTTACTATGAATTGTCTTTTGTGGTTAGGCGTTATCACTATGAAACTAAAAAAAGGTTTTATTACTGACAGGCCTTTAAAAGCTGTATACGCTGTTATTGTAGCTCCATTACTCGTTGAGTTACAGTAATGTAAATATTTCCATGCTATATTATACATGATGAATATACGATCAAGTATCACAAAAAATTTCTGTATAAGATAGCGTCTAAAAACCAGCATAAGATGTCATTTTCCATGGGCTTTCAGAAACTGTATCGATCGCAATAGTAACCGTATTACTCGTCGAGTTACAGTAATGTAAATATTTTCATGCTATATTATACAGGATGTATATACGATCGAGTACCACAAAGAGGTTTACAAAAAACGTGTTTTAAACGGTACTAAATGGCTGTAAATAACATGAAACAAGAACACTTGTTACTAAACTATATTATTTTGGTCGTATGGGTTTCGTTGGTTTTTTCGGGTTAGTCGGTTTCTTTTGGTTTTGCTACTTACCTATTACTAAATGGTTGTAAATAAAAAAAGAAAGTACACTTGTTACTAAACTTTAACACAAGATGTCATTTGTGATGGGCTTTAAGGGTCTGTATTAACTATTATTATAGCTCCCTGACTCGTCAAATTACCATAATATAAATATTTTCTTGCTATATTATACTGGGTATATATATTATCGATAAGTACTAAAAAAATCAAAATAAATTAGAGTACAAAAATCAACATAATGACTTTGTATGATTCCGAAAGCCCGTCAAGATTGACATCTTATGTTATATTTTGCACGCTAATTTACTATGAGTTTTGTTGTGCTTATCGATCGTATACTCACCCAGTATAATATAATAATATAGCAAGGGATGATTTTGTATCACAGTAACTCAACGAGTAATGGAACGACAATAACAGTCGATGCAGAGACTAAGAGTCTATCAAAAATGGCATCTTTTGTTGTTTTTCGTTAGCTTTTGTATAGCTTTTTGCGGTAATCAATCGTATTTCAGAATCTGTATCGACTGTTACTGTAGCTTAAATTTTTTTGGACAAGGTTTGAACTACAGAGACATTAAGGATCGTATTTAAAAAAAAAGTTTTTAAACGTTTTTTATTTTGTAAAGTTTTAATCAGTTTTTAGATAGACCGAGCTACCCTTCACTTAACAACACTTCTAATGTAACTAGTAAAGTCAAAGTAAATTAGCGACGCTTTACTGAGTAAAAGCGAACGGTTTGTCTGTTCTTCTCATGATCTCTGGGCATGTTAGGGCGTTAATGAAAGACATTGTTTAACAAACAAAGTGACGCTCTTATTAAAGTTACAGCGTTTTAAAATAATTGTTAAAAAGATGGTCAAGTTATTAAAAGGTCGGTGATCAGGTTAGTGCAGGTGGTTTTTTTTAAATATTGATTTTTTAGGGCATGGCAATTCAAGGCAATAAAGGACAGGTTAGGCTAAAGTACTAGCAAACTTTAAAAAAAGTTTTGCTGTTTTTGAACTTGTAAATCAATACATATTGACAAAAAAACTTATTTTAAACGTTTCAATTGGCCATATTAACTTATATTTTGTGCTTTGATGTTTGAAATGTCACACTTTTGTTCAACGTTCACTTTTGTAACCTAGGCAATATATAATATATCATTTTAAAACCACAATATATTTTAAAAACATGTTTTTGAATTTTGCTTTTTTTAAAAAATACAATCTTTAGCCATGACACCGTTTGTTTTCAACTCTAACTTAACTTAGCTACAGTTCTACACAATTTACTGTTTTTTGTGTTACACAATATCCCCTTGAAATTTGTTTTAGATTTTTTAGTGTCAGCCAGTTAAAAAGTACGTTGTTTAAAAAGTTTTTTAATTAGCTGCGGCGCTGGAAAATCGATGAAATTGTAGCAAAAATCTGTGACAAACTAAAACGATTTCACGTAGTTGGCTATACATTTCATATTTTCTTTATTTATCATAATATTCGTTTTTATATAAAGAATAGGGAAACAAGTGGTATATTACAAATAATTTTTTTTAATTTTACAATTGTGATGTTTTTAAATTTTTAAAGTGTTTAGGCTAGGTCGTATTTTGTTATAAAAACGCATAGTAATTGTGATAGAAAGGAAACATGACGTTAAGTTAATAAGAAAACAAAAATTTTTTTTGTGGTTTAAAAATTTTACTTTGGTAGTGAAAAGCAGCGCAGGGCAAAAAACAACCCAAATTTAACAATTTTTTTAATTTTTAAATTTTCATGACCAGTCGATATATCACTTTTTTCTATTCACTCAAGCAATGTTGAACATATGACTTTGTCTGACGTCACCTGCTTGTTTTGTAATGTTTAATCTCCTACCAAACTGTTTGTCTAACAAGTTGCTTTCCTTTAAAGGCGTTGAAACTTAGTTACCAAACTTTAATGACTCATTGCGTTAAGTAATGGCAGTTAGTTAAATGTGAGGGTAAAGTATATAAATGAAGGTAGAATTTTAAAATTTAAGATTGATTTTTTGATTTTTAAACGGGGTTATGTAATGCTAGGTGCAGTTGCCGATAAAACTTAATTTTAAAAAAAATTATGTGGATTTTTCTTCCAACTTCTAGTTGCCATTTTTTAAATCCACTTATGATTTTTACAAGCTTTCCCAGAAAAAATTTTTGACATTGTTAGTTGTATTATACTCACATTATACGTGGGGTCGATTTACAACCTTAAGATAAATCGGTCTTGGAAAGTTTACGACTTAAAAATCTCACGACAACAAACTGATAAAAGAGACGTTTTGTAAATAAGAAATGTCATAAATAACTTCGCTGGAAATTTTAAAGACAAATATTTTAAATTTCCGAGAAATGGTTGTGACTTTTAAATTTGAAAAGACTGGAGTAGGCGAGTGTGAATTACAAGTTTTTTCTTTACAAAGGAGCTTTTTACTGTAATTTTCACTGCCATGTAGTGCTGGCCGGGTTCAAGCGTTGCTCGTTATATCGAAATTTCGTCACAGGGGAGTTCGTTTCACAAGAGTTTTACTGTACATTTAAAAATTGGTATACAAACTTTGATCACTACTAAATAAAAGAGAACTCATTTACTTATTTTTATAAATTATCTACTATTCATTTCCTTGATTTCTTTATTTTTTGCCTATTGGTCACTTAACAGGTGACCAAGAATACCCTTTTGTCTGTTTTTTATTATTACTTTTCGCTTTTTGTCTGACGTTTGTTTTTACTTGTATGTACTATAATGTGGTTCTATACTTTTTAAAATTTTTGCCGTGATTTTAAATTTTTTTTGAACTTGAAATTATTTTTTATTTTTTTTAAGTTTTAAACGTTTTTTAAAAGTGTTTGTTTTGTTTCAGGTTGACTAAACTACACAACTTTAAGTCTATTTATATTTTTACCACAAGGTTGTATACAAAACACGGTTATCAACAAAGAATACGGATATCAACAAGATTTTTTAATTTTTGATTGGCTTCAATAGTACTAAAGTGTATATTGTACTCATATTATAGTAGTACTATAGCCACCTTATATTAGTATTATACCCATACTATATTGGTACTCTACCTATATTATATTATACTACACATACTAAGTCATGAACATGCTAAACGTCGGTCTATTCCAACAAGACACCTTATGGATGATCATAGTCGGCTTCTTTGTCGCATTCATCTTAGCCTTTGCTATTGGTGCTAATGATACTGCCAATTCTTTTGGTACCTCAGTTGGAAGCAAAGTTCTTACACTACAAATGGCTTATATCTTGGCTACAATCTTCGAAACCATGGGAGCAGTACTACTTGGCTATCAAGTTACAGATACGATACGAAAAGGTGTGATAGATGTGTCGATATATGAAGGTGCTGAAAAAGAGCTTATGTTAGGACAAGTGTCAGTTTTGGCCGCATGTGCTTGTTGGCTTTTAATTGCTACAGTGTTTAAGTTGCCAGTTTCCACTACTCATAGCATTATTGGTGCTACAATTGGTTATAGTGTGGTGTTACGGGGTTGGGCCGGAATTCAGTATTCACAGGTTTTTAATATATGTAAGTACATACATCTACTTGTTCTGTTATTTAGTTTTAACTATTTAATTTATAGTGTCAGCTTTGAAGATAGACAATAATTGTTACCTAAACTTAAATTTTAGTTAATTTGAACTAACTTGTTATCTAAATTATATATAATTCTTAAAAATAAAAACCAGTTGCTACCTAAATTTACATTTTTCAGTTGCTTCATGGTTTTTATCGCCTGCCTTAGCCGGAGCCATATCAGCTAGTTTGTATGTTGTACTAGATCATATTATACTCAGAAAAGTAAGTTTTTATTACTGATTTTTTTAATAATTTTAAAATTATAAAAATTTTTAAAAATTTTTTAGTATTGAAGTACCACACGATCTCACAAAACGTAATTCTTTAAAAAATATTTTTAATATAGGTCTAATAATAACATATTTTCAGAAAGACTCATTCAAACGAGGTCTACAAGCTTTACCAATCATCTACTTGATCTGCACTTGCTTTAACATTTTTGCCGTTGTTTACAACGGTTCTTCTTGTGAGTTTTTTATATTTTTTTTTCATTATAAGCGGGTTTCCAAAGTTAAAATATTGTGAGCTTCAGCTTCGGCTTTGCCTTTTTTAAATTTTAGTTTTGTCTCTAGCTCTAGCTGCGGAGCTGGCCTTTAGCTGGAATTGTCCATACTTTAGGGGTTATTAATACTGAGAGTTGACATATATTTTTCATCACCCGCTGTTCCGCCTTTTTTATTTTTCCCATCAGCGACTGTTGGGAGTTGATTGCAAACTTAAGTTGCTATAAATATTCGTATTTTACTAAAATTTCTGCTTTTTTCAGACCTAGGATTTGATCAATTGACCCTAACGCAATCAGCTGGTATCTCACTGTTTCTTGGACTGACAATAGCTGCTATCGTTCAGTTTGGATTTGTTCGAAAATTGAAAAAAGTTGTGCAAGGTTCGTTTATTCGTTTTGACTTAACCTTTTTTTAAATATAAACGTATTTTATACCTAAATCATATATCTGGTCCCTATTTTTATGATTTAAATGTCTTAATGTTGTTATTTCTGAAAGATTTAAATTTTAGGTAACATTTATTAATTTTTACTTTCTCTTCACTGATTATACAACATATTATCTTCATAGCTTACCTTTATAAGCCTTAAAAACCAATTTATTTTATAATTTCAGAAAACTTCAAGCCAGGATCACTAATCAAGAAAGAATCAGATGTTTGTGCCATCGAATTCCTAGAAGAAGAACCTCAAAAGGGTAGTTGTGGCGACTTCTTATACTCGAACAAACCTGACGATCCACAAACTTCGCATTTATTCACTTTGCTTCAAATCATGACAGCTTGCTTTGCTGGTTTTGCTCATGGTGGCAATGACGTCAGTAATGCTATTGCACCGTTGGTGTCATTGTACTCGATTTATAAGGATGCCAGTGTTTACCAGGTGGGGTGAAAATCATTTTTTTATAAATTGTAATCTTTTTTTGATTTTACTGCAAACAAAAGTTTTTTCGTTTTTTATAAGGCAAACTAGTGTATAATGGCGACAGGACTTTTTTGGGCTTCAGCATTCGCAAAATATGTTTATTTTTTGAAATTATAGTTATCAGTAAAGACATAACATTACCACTGTTGTATTTTACCATTCCCTTTTCAGGAAGGTCAAACTCCAATCTGGCTACTAATCTTCGGAGCTGCTGGTATGTGTGTAGGTTTATGGCTACTAGGCCACCGTGTCATAAGCACAGTAGGTACTGGACTGACAGAGATCAATGCTCCACGAGGATTTGTAATCGAATTAGGAACAGCTTTTACAGTTTTGGCAGCAAGTAAGATTGGACTGCCAATCAGTTCAACTCACTGTAAGGTTGGAAGTGTTGTAGCGGTGGGAGCTGTACACAAACCTGGATCAGTGCAGTGGAGTACTTTTGGAAGCATATTCTTGTCTTGGGTTATCACTTTGCCGGCTTCAAGTAAGTTCATAGTTTTTTAAAGAATTTTAAAGTGGCAGCAATGGTAGGGTAAGCCAGGGTAGGGTAAGGCAAGGTTGAATAAGATAGAGTAAAGCAGGGTAGAGTAGAGTATGCCAATAGCAAGTTTAAAAAACTTATTAATTGCAGCTGTGCTCAGCATGATCTTCATCTACATTCTCAAGTTCTTTGCACACTAACGACGGTTTTGATATAACTAACGCGTGCACGTCGAGCCAAAATCCGCATTGAATTTGTGGCGATTCGTCTTTTCCCCTTTATAAGGCTATCGGAAAAATGTCTGACCGCTCTCTTTTTGGCTGCGTGGAAGCTCTCTCCGTTTTCGGCTCTCTCGTTCGCTTTTTTGTCTGCGCTCTTTCCTTTTTACGCGAATCGTGACCGAACGGATCGCCACAAATGCAATGAAATTATTCTCTATATTCTGGCTCGACGTGGCGTGTAAACTATGGTGTACATATCAGAAAACAACTACAACTTTACATATCATAAATAATGTTTGGCAATAACTTGTGAGAAAAAAATAATTAAAAAATTGTTTTACGTAATTTGACTGATAATTGGCTCAACAAAGCACTTTTTAAAAATTGGTATATTAATTTTTTGTATTTAAAAGTACACTTTAAATTTAAGAGTTAGATCACACGACAAAATTGCCAATAGCTTACGCACAAAATGTGTATCATTTTGTTTTGTTTACAGACAACCAGTTTACCTTAACATAGTTATTATAGTTATTTAAGATTAGACTGCCATATTAAGTGTAAATATCATTCATTTAGTTATTAGTTCTAATGATAAATACTCGCACAATAGTAAGACTTCCTACTCTGTAATGCCGGTCAACTTTACCGAAAATGTTGTTGGCCCATTGAAGGCGTTTGGCTACACTAAAGATGACAGAGCAGTCCAGATTCTATATGACATTGCTTGTTTTGTGGTCAAGAATGGATTGTTATATGCAATGGCAACAGGATTCATCTCCAGTGTTTTGAATATCTACATTGCTATTAAAATAGCTTCGGTTCAGGTTTATAGCACAAACTTTCGGCTTGTTACGGTAGGTTGGACATTTTCGGGAAATTTGTTTCAATCTTACAGGTATTAATAAACTGTGTAACCACAACCATAACAATTGGCCGCTGTATCTACGCGTTAACTCCGCCCAGCTTTTACAGTGTAGAAACTTACAACTATCTTGGTGCTACTTTAATATACTTTGTAAGCTATTTCACTAACATATGCAGTTACACATTCAACGCCAAGTTTCTAATAGTTGCTACAGAACGACGTGTAGCGTTTAATAAACGTGCAACATACGAAAATGAAAAGAGTAAAACAAGATCGTTAATAAGCGTTTACTTGATAATATCTGGTATGGTATTCATTACTACAGTAAAGACGGGTATTGTACTGTTTTTATGTGGGGAAATGTCAGATTATTGCTTGAAACAAGCGTTTATTGTAGACTTTTGCTTTCCAGCTTTAACAATGTCACATTTGATTGCTGGGTTCAGCTTGATTTATGGGATTTGGGTAGGTTTTGAAAATGTTAATGATTATGTAAATTACGCCTTGCCTTTTCTTTCCCTGCCCCGTCCTTTCCTGTCATAACATCCCTGTCCTGTCCTGTCCCGTTTTGTCTCGTCCTGTCTCGTCCTGTCCTGTCTTGTCTTGCTCTGCGCTGTTCGGCCTTGTCCTATGTTTTTAAGCCTAATTTAACGTATTATTTTTTTCAGACTTTTTACAATTTAAATCAAAAAAGTCGTCGTATACGAAGAAATTGTACGACCTTGACAGAAGCCTTTATCGTGAAAGAAATTATAAATGTCATAAAGGTAATAAAACTTTTAATAATTGTTTACTTCTCACTACTGTTGCTAGCTGGTTTTGTTTATATAATTATGTTTGGCAGCTTCTTAATGGGTGTAATGGACGAAAGAGATGTTTTCTACACTGCTTTGCTCACTGTAAGCCGCAACACAACCCCTGTCTTATCTTTCCCTGACATCTCACCTTACCCTATCCTACCTTTCCTTGTCTCTAGTCATACAAGTTTTATTTTTAGATTGACTACGTTTTAGTTGACACCTACAATATATACTCGACATGTTCGATGGTATGGCATTTCAAACAATTACGACGAATATTCTTCAAAGATATAACGTCAATAGTACCAACTAGTAGAGTATATTCTACAGGACAAGAAGATACACATCTTGACGATCTTAGCGCTACAGATCGAGCTAATATGCACTTTGGCCACCTTAAGCAGTCTTGGCATACAGAAACTCTTCGGAAGACTATTGTTACATAACTACACCCTCACATTAAAAATCAACTCCGTTTTATAAATAGATACGGTTGATGTTACAAAGAAAACTATTTAAAATGTTTAAGACGATTATAATTGAGGCAGTTTAGGTAAATTTCTGACAAGCTGCTTTTAACACAAAAAAGGCAAGTCTTATCACTACCTAGACGCAACTTAATCTTGGTTTAATACTTGCGATTGTTATAAGATACGTTTTAAATGTATTGTCAAAGTTAAGTGATTATCATGCTTATTTTTGTCATACTTTTAGCTTGTGTCGTAAAGTCATACAAAGGCAATGTTATCGAAATCAACACAAGCTATCAGGCTCTTGTGTGTAAGTTTTGCTTCTTAGTTGTTGCTGTTAAGATAGCTTAAAAAAGGAAAAAAAGCATAATTACTTTGAATTTTTTAAAAATATTTCAGCTATTAACGTGTTTTAGCAGATGCGTTTTACTTTGGATCAAACTGTCAGGGAATAGCTATTACTTTTTCCATTAATGATGCCGATATTTTTGTTGCGGACGGCAAATGTGATGTAAAATCCCAGTGTCCTAAGTACTGCAATATCCGTAAGTTATGTTAAAAAATAATATTTTAAAAATTAAACACAATTTAAAATTTATTTTGAAGTAAATATATAGCTATAACATCAGATTCGTTTTACTCTTTTCCAAATCAATTCTTTCTTTGGGAATTAAGCTGGGCCCCTGAGGCCTTCATTCAAACAAGGCCCTCTTGTTTATTTTTGACCCGGTCCATTTTAAAACTGGTTCACGTAGCCCCGGTTTCAGGCATATACTGTACACATACTTAATACGTTTTTCAGAAGCATTTTGTAACGAGTTTTGTAACCCATTGTGTTGTCTATCATTAGCTGAAGTTAATAAACGATGTGACTATTCTAACTATTCCAGCTACGATCGTAATTCAACCTCATTTTCGATGACATCTGAATACATTCAAAGTAATGGCTTAGCCGGAATTCTAGTTAAGGATGACATACACTTTCTCACAACTAACAACAGCTATGTATCGTTTTATGGCAAAAGCTTTTACCTACAAGTAAAGTGGTTATTGGACAATTATGTTGTGTTCGGTTCCAGCAATAAAATTGGTCTTGGATTAAGTCGAAAACGATCAAACTTTCTTCAAGATTTGTATGCTGCAAAGCAAATTGCTCGTTCTGTTGCTACAATTAGCTGGCATAAAGATACCATCTTTCCTAGTATCATTTTTGGTGATTATAATGATAAGTATTGTACTGGTGGATGGAAATATTTGACACCGGTGGATGAGACTACTTGGATGTTTGATGCTAATCAGTTTGAGTTTGTCACGATACGTAGAAGCTATTCTTATCGAGTATGTTTGATTTAAATTAGCTATGTCTTCCAACTCTAAGTTATACATAGAATATGTACGAACACACAATTATTTTAGTTAATGTTTTCCGAATTTACTCCCATCAGAATACCCGTAAAACACGTTCAACAACTGTTGTACGAAAGCAAATTACATTTCCTGGCAAAAGGATTGTACGTTGTTGAAGACAAAGGCGCTTATAATTATACATGGTCATTAAAGTCTACAACAATATCAGTCAAACCAATCGGTAGTAAAACCGACTCGATACTAGTTCAACCATTACAACCGAATCCAGACAATTTGCAGTTTATACTTGGCTTTGACTTATTCTACAAGTACTGTCTAGCACTGGATTATGGCAGAAAACAAATGGCATTAGCTGATTGTGAGATTGGTTTAGACAATGACATTTGAAAAATTTGTGCTTTCAGTGTTTTTGAAATTTATAAGCCGATAAGTTAAAGTATGTTTAGATCTTTTATTGACTAAAACAACATGAAGCAGCACGTCGAGCCAGAACATAGAGAATAATTTCGTTGCATTTGTGGCGATCCGTTCGATCTCGATTCGTGTGAAAAGGAAAGAGCGCAGACAAAAAAGCGAACGAGAGAACCGAAAACGGAGAGAGCTTCCACGCAGCCGAAAAGAGAGCGGTCAGACATTTCGCCGATAGCCTTATAAAGGGGAAAAGACGAATCGCCACAAATTCAATGCGGATTTTGGCTCGACGTGAGCAGTTGCCTAAGAAAAAATACGCAAAAAATGCATCCGAGCGCCAACAAGTCTCTACACTTAACTATAACGTACTCAAATTTACTAACACTTCTAATGCAGCAGTAAAATCATGTTTAGTGTTGTAAAAAACTAGGATAGAGTAGACTAGAGTAGGACAGGATAGAGCAGAGTAGATTAGGGATGTACGCATTCATTTATAAAAAAAAAGTTTAAAAAAAAAATTTTTATTGCGGCTTTGATCAGCGTAATCTTTATTTACATTCTCGAGTTGTTAGCTCATTTATCACGCTTTTAAATCAACAAACACGTGTAAATTGTGATGTACATTCAGAAAACAACTACTACTTCACATATCATACGCTTTGGCGATAATTTGTGGACAAAATAAATAATAACATGTGTTTAAATTTGATAGCTTTTTATGCAATTTTTTAATAGTGTTGTATAACGTATTATACAATTGCATTTATAAATTTAAAATTACCATGTGAGTTGGACAAGAAGTTTAATATTTGATGTGTAATATTAGTAAAGGCATTCGTACTTCAGTTGAAGTGGTATGGTATTAAACCAATTTTGTATCTATTTTTGGAAATACACATATATATACTTATATAACAAAGGTGTTGTAAAAGTACAATTTCTATATATGTAGGTGTCACGTATAAATTGCAAAACAAGATACATTTTAAGAATTGATTGAAAATTTTTTAGTAGTACTAACTATAAGATTAGTAGAGTGCTGATTTATTTTTATCGTGCTTGTTATTTATGAATATAGCCCTAGCTTTAGCTCTGGCTCTAGCTTTAGCCTTATCTCGATCCCTAGTTTTAGCTCTAGGCTAAGCCCTATTTCGAAAGTAGCCTTACCCTACCCGCCTTCTTTATAAAGCTGTCTCGGCTTACCAAGTATGCTATAGATAAATAGAAGATTTAATATTGTGATTAATATTAATAAAATTGAAAAGTTGTACAAATTGTATATTTTTGTAGGTATTATTAAGTAATTAAAAACTTGATTAGTTTTCATAAATGTAATTGTACTGTACAGAACGATATCATAGAAAAATAAACAAAACGTCTAGCAAGCAAATCAAAATTATCGTTGTCCGCATGATTTTTCAAAACTGTTTATATTATCTATTTTAGCAATGTGATTTGCCCATTTTAATTTAATCATATTGAAAATATTGACTTAATTGAAATGTTACAGAGGGTGTTCATTAACTATAGACAGAAGGTTTTTAACTTAGCTTCACAAAGAGTATTTTAACTTTTACAAAATTTCATTTTTTAGCTTATTAGCGCCTGAGTAGTTTAGAATTATAGCAAGAATAGAGAGGTATGGTTAGTGTAGAGCTAGAGTAAAGCAAGATAAGGTTGCTGCAGAAATAAAATAATACAAGGCCCTTGCAAGATAGAGCTAAGGTAGGATAACTCTATGGCAAGATGTAGGTATCTATTTTTAAGGCTAGGTAGTGTAAAAATTCAATAGAGTTTGGTAAAACAAGGCTTCGACTAATTTTAAAAAATAGTTTGAGGCTTGATTTTTAACAAATTCCAAAATAATATAATTATGTTTTACTAGCTATATCAAAGTAGATTCTAATTTTTATTTTCTTATATTTTGAATTTAGAATTTGCAATTCTACACGTGCACAACCTTCTTTTTATTACACAAAACACTTACATTTTCGTTTTATTGTAAACTCTAAGTGTAACGTACATGATACACTTGACTTACAATATAATCCTGCAGCCTCGGTAATTAGCACAATACATTTTGCTTGGCTATGTTTTTAAAATTAAACTTATTTTTTATTTAATTAGACATTGAATGCTATCATTTTTATATAGTTGATAATTTTTTTCTTTTGAAAACCAACTTGAAACCTAGAAAATTAGACCGCTATTTTTCAATTACTCAGTATGAAAGCCTGTAGACATTATTTCTTGTTAAACCATAACAAAGTGCGTCAGGTTGCCCTAAATTGGCGTGTTTACTTTCAGAGTTTTGTATGATTTAATTGTCCTAGAACAAATGTACACGGCTAACTGGCTTCTGTTTTATAATTTGTCTCGCAATTTCATTGTAACTTGCGACTATTAATTTAAAAGCCATATTTGTAATCATTTTAAAAGATTTGTCAATGTACCTTAGCCGTAGTGTAAGCCTTAGCCATAAACTTAGTATTAGCCTTAGACTTTCATAGCTCTAGCTAAAGCCTTACAAGTAGCTTTATTCCTACGCCTAAGGTTCTTTTTTGTGACAAAATCCCCCCCCCCCCCCCCCCCAACTAGTTACACGGAACCGTAGAAGCGTGCACATCTTTATTATATACAATTCTGTAGTTATCTACCTTTCCCTAATTGTTATTTACAGTGATGACAATAACTTATAATACCTGTCCTTGCATAACCCCAGTGTTGTGCCCTAGATGTTAATAGCTCATCAGTTTTTTGTTGACAATGTTTTTTCACTTGACTTTGATTGTTGATACGCACGTATTATATATAGCATGTACAAAAAACTTTAGGCTTATTGTAGTTTTTTTGTTGGGTATAGTACATTACTTTAGTATTTCTGTGTTTGTACTGTTAAATCACAGTAATTACACGCCATTATAACCTATTTTACCCGACCTTACCATACCATACCTTAAACGACCATACCCTACCCTACCCGAGCCTTACCATGCTCGAACCTACCCTATCCTACTCTACCCGTCCTTACCATACCCTACCCTACATACGATTGATACTTTTACTTTTTCACACATAGTAGACCTTTTTAAATTAATGAGTACAAATTTATAAACTTCCTGTTATATGTAATATCAAGTACAAACTATTCTTTTTACCATACAGTTATATCTTGTTTTAAACGACTAATTCATTATACTAATTGCCACCCAAATTACCAATTATTTTAGAATTAAAGAGTTTTCAGACAAGTTAATGACATATCATAACACAAACAAAACGCTTTACTCAGTTATGCCGGTCAACTTCACCTACAACGTTGTTGGACCATTGAAAGCGTTTGGCTACATTGAAAATGATAGGGCAGTCCAGATCCTATATGAAATGGCTTGTTTTGTGGTCAAGAATGGGGTGTTTTATGAAATGGCAACTAGTTTCATATCAAGTTTTTTGAATATTTACGTTGCGGTTAAGATAGCTTCGGTTCAGGTTTATAGCCAAAACTTTCGGCTTGTTATGGTAAGCATTTCCCTTTCCTAACAGACCCGATAGAGGATCCAATAGGTTCGGCTTGACCGTTTTACAGTACTCCACTAGCGACACTCGATTCTCAAAGAAACGCCACTTTCAGGTAGTGATAAACAGCGTAACCACAGGAATAGCCATCGGCCGCCCAATCTATGTCTTAACACCCCTTCGCTTTTACAGTGTAGAAACAAACTATTACTTTGGCGCCTTTTTCATTTACCTTGTTGGTTATTTAGCCAACATATGCAGTTACACGTTTAATGCCAAGTTTCTAATTGTAGCAACAGAACGTCGGATAGCTTATAACGAACGTGCTACTTATGAACATTCAAAAAATGCCAGAAGTTCGTTCATAGCCGTTTACTCTGTAATATTCGGTATAACAGTAATTACTACAGTTAAGACGGGTATTGTGCTGTTTTTATGTGGTGAAGTGTCAGATCATTGTTTGCAGAAAGCTTTTATTGTAGACTTTTGCTTTCCAGCTTTGACAATGTCACATTTGATTGCTGGGTTCAGTTTGTTTTATGGGATTTGGGTAGGTATTGATATTCGTATTGGTCATTTTAGGTACTGGCTTTGTTTCACTGTCAAATATGTAACCTACCGCCACCCTATTCTACCTTAACTTGCCATGGCTTGACTTGCTTTGCGTTTCCTTGCCTTGTCTTGAAATACCCTGTCTTTCCCCACTCTGTTTTGCATTGCCCGATTGTGCCATACCTTAGTGTGCCCTGTCGATAACATTATATTTTTCAGACTTTCTACAGCTTGAATCAAAAAGGTCATCGTATACGAAGAAATTGTACGACGTTAACAGAAGCCTTCATTGTTAAAGAGATCCTAAATGTTATCAAAGTCTTAAAACCTCTAATCATCGCCTACTTTTTACTACTGGTGTTTGCTGGAACCGTTTATACGATAATGTTTGGTAGCTTTTTAATGGGAGTGATGGACGAAAAAGACGTTTTCTATACTGCTTTGCTTACTGTAAGTTTTTTAGTAAAATCAAAACTAAAATTGATATTAATCTTTAGCTTTTGTTAGATGTTATTGTATTTTACCTCGCTATAGGCAACATTATAAGCTTCAATATAGTTACATCGTACTGCCATGTCGTAGTTTACCTAAATACCCCCCTTTTCAGTCCGACTATGTTCTAGTAGACACATATAACATCTACTCAACATGTTCTATGGTATGGCACTTCAAACAGTTACGGAGAATATTCTTCAAAGATATTACTTCAATAGTACAATCCAACAAAGTATACTCGACAGCAAAAGAAGACAATGAGAATTTAGACAAGTTTAATGTTGTAGAACAAGGTGACGTATACTTTAATCAACTCACCGACTTTTGGAACTCTGAATTACTTCGAAAGACTTTCACTATTGCCAAAAAAGTAGATGTACAGTCAAATCTTTAGTAAGACACACAAGATACTGGTTCAAACCTGTCTTTTTAGATAGTTAACGTTAAACTACAAGTTTGATATCAATATGGTGCTGTTTTGCTTTGCATTTACCTTTTATCTATCAATATACCTACCTTAGTTGTAAAAAAAAGTCTTGTCGCTTTATTCCGTGCCATTTAATCTTAAAAACGCCAAGATTTTTTTGACGTTGACTTTTTCAACAATTATTTGCAATAAACCAATTAAGAATGTATTTGCAGTTTAATCTTTCTAACTTTATCGACCACTAAGCAGTCAAAAACCGACAAATTAGTAAGTAAAAAAAATATTGGCCCGTTTTTGTCAATTGTTTTTAATAGCGAGGAAAATGGTGGTAAAGTTCAAGGAAAAATTCGCCAAAGCTACAAATGAAATGTTCAAAGAGGATAGATTCCCAGAGGACTACAACAAATCAAGTACAATACTTATACAGGGTGTATCAAGAAATTTGCAGGATTTGAAAAATTTTTTATTCAGCGATAAAAATCGCTATAGGTACCAAATTTGGTACAGCGATAGTAGAGCAAATATATATTTTTTATGAAAAATTTTGGATTTTAAAAGTGCATTTTAAATTTTTTATGATTTTTTAAAAATAGGCATTTTTCACCAAAAATACACATATTTTTGGTTGAAAATGCTTTTTTTCTCCGAAATTTGCGAGAGAATTATAAAATTTATCTATTTTCAAATGAAAAGACTGATTTTCAATGTCGGCGAAGGCTCGGCGGAGGCCGGCGGACGCGTTCAGATATCGGCGGAGGCTATAACTCGCTTCAAAATTGTCGTAAAATTATGAAACAAAAATTATTTCATTTGAAGTTATTAAGTCTACAATTGTAGATATAAATTTTAACACAAAAACACTCAAAATTTTTTAATAAAAATTGTTAATTGATGTTCAATAAAAATAGAATAATAGAAAATATAAAATACTTGCAAATTAAAACCATTATTATTTTTTTCTTATTTGTGTCTATTCGGTCATTATGAAGTGGAATGAAGATGTCAAGATAAAGTGTGTTCGATATTAAAATATTAAAAATTTATATCCTACAATTGTAGACTTAATAACTTCAAATGAAATAATTTTTGTTTCATAATTTTACGACAATTTTGAAGCGAGTTATAGCCTCCGCCGATATCTGAACGCGTCCGCCGGCCTCCGCCGAGCCTTCGCCGACATTGAAAATCAGTCTTTTCATTTGAAAATAGATAAATTTTATAATTCTCTCGCAAATTTCGGAGAAAAAAAGCATTTTCAACCAAAAATATGTGCATTTTTGGTGAAAAATGCCTATTTTTAAAAAATCATAAAAAATTTAAAATGCACTTTTAAAATCCAAAATTTTTCATAAAAAATATATATTTGCTCTACTATCGCTGTACCAAATTTGGTACCTATAGCAATTTTTATCGCTGAATAAAAAATTTTTCAAATCCTGCAAATTTCTTGAGACACCCTGTATTCAAAAAGGGAGATGAAGACAGAATTGAGAATTATAGACCGATAAGTCTAATGCCCCCTCTATACAAGATAATAGCTGGAACTTTAGCTGAAAGAATCAAGAAGAAGATCACAACAACGCTGGCCAAGGAACAGTTTGCCTATCGTAGCGGTGTTTCAACGATAAATCCGCTCTACATAGTGAAACAGGTAATGGAGAAGGCGTGGGAATGGCAAAAGTCACTGGCAATTGGTTTACTGGACATGAGCAAAGCTTTTGATGTTATCTGTATGAGAACGGTATGGAAGGCTTTGAAGAAGTATGGTGTAGATGAGGAGACAATACAAATGGTAATGAAGCTGTATAAAGTTGACAACAATGTCATCAGAATAGGATCAAATGAAGAAGAATTCAGACAAGGAAGAGGTGTACGACAGGGTGATGCTATGAGCCCAATACTATTTGTACTGGGGTTACAATATGCACTTGACAAGATTGACTGGCAAGAAATGGGGATTGACATCAATGGTACGAAGCTGAGAATACTAATCTATGCAGATGACATCACAATTCTGGCGAACAATGCGGAAGAACTAAAAGAGATGACAGAAAAGGTAGAAGAAGCGACGACGAGGATTCTACTCAGAATGAATAAAGAGAAAACATGCTGGATGGGGAATGTGGAAGGAGTACTGAGAATTCAGAATATGGAGATTCAGAAGACAGAGAAGTGCAAATATTTGGGACAGACGTTGACGTTTCCAAATGAGCATGGTGAAGAGATAAAAGACAGAATCAGAAGTGGATGGTGCAAGTTCCAGGAAGTTAAATGGCTGCTGATGAACAAGAAGACTCCCACATCACTGAAGGCGAAATACTACAAGATGTGTATTGAGCCCGCGTTGCTGTACGGGGCAGAAACTTGGGCATGGACAAAAGCAGACCAAATCAAGCTCAGCAGAAGTCAAAAGAAGATGGAAAGAATGATGTGCAATGTAAAGTTAAGATGGGGAATTAGAAGCAAAAGAATAAGAAGATGGACAGGGCTAGATGAAGTGGTGGTGAAGGCAACGGAAAGAAAGTGGAAGTTTGGAAGGAAGGTAGCCAGAATGCCTGAAGATAGATGAGAAAGGAAAGTTGCGGCCTGGCAACCTGATGGCAAAAGACCGATTGGCAGACCTCGTACAAGGTGGCAGGATGAGATAAGGAAGAAGGTTGGAATTGACTGGATCGAGGCGGAAGATGGAAGATGGCAAGAAGCTCTCAGGCACTACACCGAAGAAATCAAAGATTATTGTTACATGTAATTTCAATGTTATGATTTTATTTGTATTTGATGGTTGAGCTAGTAAATAAACTGAAACTGAACTGAAACTAACGTTAAACTACAAGTTTGATATCAATATGGTGCTGTTTTGCTTTGCATTTACCTTTTATCTATCAATATACCTACCTTAGTTGTAAAAAAAGTCTTATCGCTTTATTCCGTGCCATTTAATGTTAAAAACGCCAAGATTTTTTTGACGTTGACTTTTTCAACAATTATTTGCAATAAACCAATTAAAAATGTATTTGCAGTTTAATCTTTCTAACTTTATCGACCATTAAGCAGTCAAAAACCGACAAATTAGTAAGTAAAAAAATTATTGGCCTGTTTTTGTCAATTGTTTTTAGTATTTACGTAAAACTACTGTCAATTATGTTGAAGTATTTACGTAGAACCAATATCTCTAAAAAAGAAAGAAACATGTAGTATAATATTAAAGCAAAGCCGTTTCTAAACACACAGTAATTGTACTTTCACCCCTACCCTACTCTATCTTATCCTGCCCTACCTTACCCTAATCTAGCCTACACTATCTTATCCTGCCCTACCCTATCTTATCCTACCCTACCCAGCTTAATCCCTCTATTTCAGTTCTAAATTTAAACTTAGCATGTCGTATTTCTTTTATCCTTAGATAATACACCCTGCCTTACCCTACTCAACTGTACTCTGCCCAGCTCTGTCCGGTCCTGTCCTTCCTGCTGTGCCTTATCCTATCCTAGCCTACCAATGAGTAATAGAACAGGAAAGAAGACGACAAGAACTGTAAGCTTTGCCCTGCATCCAAATCAATCAGTAGCCTTTGGAAGATTAAAACCTCAAAAAAATCACAATTATAACCACAAATTCGAAGAAAAGCCAAGTAATATTTCGAAAATTTAATACCCATTTATAATTAAAAAAATTGAAACAAATGGTCGAAGAAAAAAACAATAAAATTGTGACACAATAAGCATGCAAAAATAAAAATAATATAGAAAAAAAATATTTTCAAACTCGCACAAATTGAGTGATACGAACATCAGATGATAGAAAATTGAAAGCGGTCCAAAAGTTATTGGATTTTTCATTTTTTCACAAATTTTAAAGTTTATAAACAAAAAATTCACTTTAAGGCCCACATTGTACCTGCTTTAAACCTAAGATTTGACAATGGTTAAGTTACAACAATTCAAAAAAATTTTAAAATTTTAAAAAATCAAAAAACTTAACCTTTCCAAAACTGCTTCAACTTTCGAACCGCATTTCAAAAAACAGTAGCAACAATATTATTAGAATCCATTATACAATATTAGTTATATAAGCTGTTTCGGCGAGTTATTGTAAGGCAACTGTCAATGTTTGGTAATGTCCTACCGCCACCCACGCCCCGCAATTACTGCGGCGTTAGTGGTATATTTGAACATGTACAATAATAATACAAAACGATCCTATTTTCCGAGATATAAAAGTGTTTCGAGAGCCAAAGAGATAGAGAGATATACAGAGCTGATGGGCTGTTTGGTGGGTTTTTGGGGGTATCATCTACTATAAGGTCGAGTTTTGAGCTACTATAAGATCACATTTGTCTCTACTATAAGATCAGTAAATTGCCTATAAAAAGGCCAAAGTATGGCCTGCATTAAAGTCTAGGTTTATCCTTTTATAATGCCAGTACTAGCCCTAAAACATCAGGTTTAAACAAAACCTCTTTTGACCTCATTGGCCCAACTTTTTTACCCAACTCTACCAAAACTTTTTGACCTCTGATCCTAATTCCTATACCATATCCTTCAACGGTACCTTATCTAACTAAAACCACCCAATCCAAGCCATGCCCTCAGCCGCAGACGAAAAAACAATTAAAAATAAGCCCTGAGCCAAGACCGCAAACGGCCGAATCCAGGATTGTTCCAAATAATCGATCAATACAACAATATGAGATGTGGAAAGCTGAGAAAAACGATTGGCAAAACAAACTATCCTTGAAAACGAAAAACAAAAACGTTGTTTGGAGCGTCCGAAGAACGCTGTGTGTGCTACTGACTAGACTGAACTAATGGCGTCGTTCTGACGTGAATGCGACCGTGATCGGCTAATGCCTGAAAATGGGTTGTTGTCATAGAGCTTTGTATTGTCATATCATCTTTTTTAAAATTGTATTTTAGCGGCTGTTCGGTTTTATAATAGTCTGGCAGTTATATTAATCAAAAGAAATAATTTTGACACTTCGTCACCTTTTCCAATAATTTTGTGACATTTCGTCAACTTTACAAAAAACCTTAAAAACGGTATTAGAAATAGCCTTTTTATCTTTTTTCAAGGAGTTTTTGTATTTTAAAATTTCCGATAGTGTGACATTTTAACAACTTTTTCAATACTTACATTTCGTCAAAACTTTAAAATCATTATCCGAACTTGACACGTATTTTACACCCTTTTTAACCCGCCGTAAACTTACTTTCTTGCTCAGCCTGAAGTTTGAGCTGTCTTGAAATCTCGCGCAGTCTAGCGGCGCTAGGTCCAGTTAGAGATGGTTCCCTTCGGTCCAGGCCTTGTTGGAAAGCCTTGATTACTCTGATCTAAAATTAATGAATTTTAAGTACTGTAAAATAATATTATTATTACTGTAAACAAAAAATATAAAGAAATATCAATAAAAATGTTATTTTTAAAATGCAAGTAAAATTTAAATTTTCAGCCAAAAAGTTGTACTTTTTCAAAAAAATGGTCGATTTCTCGATTTTTTAAAAGCCTAACAAATTTTTGCAATATCTTTGTTTTAAACTCTAATGCTACATATAAAAATACCAAAATGTGCTAATATAGTACCATAATAGAATAGTACGTTCGAAAAACATATTTTGTGTAAAAGTGCAAACTAAAGTTGTTTGTACAAAATTTAATTTTTCTGACGTTACAGTAGGACATAACAATAAAACAAATTGTGTGCTGTTAGCTAATATCATAGAGTATGGTTTAGCAAAAAATCAAGTATATCCTACTGTAAGTCATCATGTTACAGTGGCCTTAAGATGATTCTAACGTTTTTGCTGATTTTTGGTTTTTACAAAAATTTTCGTTAATTTTTGTCATTTTTAATGTTATGTCAAGAACAAAAAGAGAAATCATTGTTTTTTAGGTTTTAAAAGCTATATTTTATCTTAAAAGCTGAAGTTTAACTTGTTTTGTCATGAAAAAATCAGCAAAACCTTCTAGAACATCGCAACACCCCTACAACTTCTTCAAAAGATATTCAAATACAAAAAAACGCAAAACAACATTGAAAAGTAAAAAATAAAATACGAAAAACACAAAAGCACCGAACATTTTCATTTGTCATCACCGTTTGCCATATGTCCAACAGATAGGACCAACCGACGCCGGCACACCACTGCACTGTTCATTTCGAGAGTCTATTCGAAAGTAACGATAAAATAAATGAGAGTTTTTTGAAAGTTGAATATCTACCCCCAACCACACCTAGCTTCAAAAGTCATAGAAGGTTGAGATAAACGAGAGGTCAATGTAGTGCAATTTTTGAAGAAATTTTGAAATCTTCAGCGGTGTAACAAGCTTTTGTTTAATTTTAAAAGGTGACACGTTTGGTCAGGTATCCACAAGGTTTTTCAAAATTAAGCCTGATAGCAGGGCAATAAGGGGGGGGGGGATACAAAAAAAATTTAATTTTTTTTTAAAAAATAAAATTTTCAAAAGATACCCTCACTTTACCACCCCTGCTTTAAAAACGCCCCCAATTTCATATTAAGCCTTTAAAACTTTAACAAATCCTTTAAAAACCAAAAATAAAAAAAAAGTTCAAAATTGCGCTCCCACGCCCTCTTGTTCAGGTGAAACAAAGTGGACTAACAACAAAAGGGTATTGTAAAGACACAACAACAAAGATTGAAAATGTAACTTATAAAACGATTTGTAGACGGTTATTTGTGTCGTTGACATAAAAAACTAAAAACTCAACTAAAGTGGTACATTGAGTACAACATAAGATTACGAGAAGCTTCATGGTGCTTTAAAAACTAAATTTTAAAATTTTTTTTCATAAAAAATGCCTCTTTAATCCATTTTAGTCTAAAATATATTTCTTTGCAATTTTTTAACCACCCCCTCAAAAATTTTTTTTACCCGCCCCCTCCTTTTAAAATTTTGTTACCTTTTTAAAAACTAAAAAAAACAAAGAAAAAAAATGTGTAATAACAAAAAATTCTAAACAAATCTACAATAATATCATAAAATGAGACCTGTAACATAATATAGACGAGTTGCGACGCAATCTGAAATATCAATTACCACGACACCATACCGCAACCATTTATATAAAAACAGTCAGTTGGCATAACTGAGGATTGTACGTTGACTACACGACTAGAAAACAATATCTACACTAACATTCACCGCAACCTTCTATGGTATTTTCCAATTTTTTCGTTGTGATTTACCCTTTTTATCCATTTTTTTTGAAAAGTTTGAAATTTCTGAATTTTTTAAATTTTAAAACAATTTTAATCAAAAGCATAGTCTTTCTAGCTTAAAATTACTCATGCTAAACTAATGCTGCTAGCAAAAAACCTTTAGTTTTAGTTAACAATATAGCTTTAGTCAATGCCTGACGGACAATTTTAGCCTTACAAAAGACGGTAAAAAAGAAAAATCAAAAAAAAATTTTTTTTAAGTTCATTTTTATGCAAATTAAAAAAAAATTCTTCCCTTCCCCCGCCCCATTAACCAAAATTGCCCACCCGTCACCAACCTTCACTGCTTTTTCATCCTAAACTAACCAAGTCTCCACAACATTCTATACCAATACCACACTAAAAAAATTTACTTAACTTATCTTAACCCAATCATCATATTTGTTATTTAAAACCAATTAAAATAACCCCTAAACCCCCTACTAATTTTCAACTTTTAGCTCTTCAAACTCGACTCAATTTCGACTCGAATTCGAAGGCAGAGGCAGAGAGAGCAGAAGAGGAGAGGTAGTGCTTACAGCTTGGTCGGTCGGCGCTGAACTATGGGGCACGGGAATCAAATGTTCGGCACAACGATCACCACCAATTACCTAAAACAAAGTATACACTCGAACCGAAACGATTTTGAGAAAAAAGAAAAAATAAAAAAAATTGAAAAAAAAACTATTTGGCTAGGCGGTGCGGTCCAAAAATAAACAGGGAACTAACGATAAATTGTACAACAATATTCATGGCTTTGAAGTCTTTTTTAGCTTTTTTGTTTTTTTTTTCGTTTTTTTTGTTAACAAACTACCATTTCTAGTACTACTACAATATTAAATTTTACATTGTAGTATGTTATAATTAAAGAAAACTTTCTTTCTGAACAATGTGTAATTCATACTGTAGTTTTTGACGTTAAAAACAAAAAATCAACCGTAGCAATGCGAAACAAGTAAATTTTTCTGATTAAACACAACATAACAACACTAACAATACTAAGTAAGGCGATTCACAGCACTACATTACAATCACATGACAAAGTGATAAAACATAACAATTGTGTGTCATTATCAAGACAATTATACCAAGTCCACTATACGATAGCAATACGTCCATCACACAACATCTATAAGTCCACTATACGATAGCAATACGTCCAACGATTCACGGTACAACATGTTAAACCAACCGTTCTTAAACAAATGACGTTAGCCTTCAAATGAGCTTTAAAAACCAAAATCAGATGAAAATCTTATGCTTTAAAGATACTTTTACATCTAATGAGGTTATAGTACCGTCACAAGGCGTTATAGAATGTTTATAAGACCTTATAGGACCTTTATATAGCCCAATAGAATCTATATATAGCCTTATAATACCTTTATATGACTTTATAGTAACAATAAATCACCTTTTTGCCAAGTTTTCTCGAATTATCGTTAAAATTTTATTTTTGTATTGAACATATCATCTTTGCGAATATATTGTTGAGTGTAGACGTACAATAAAAATGTCTTTTCCTTAAAAAAAACAAAGCGAATTCTTGTTACCGGTAATACGTTGTGGGGGGTTTGTAAAACTGTATAAGTGTGCAGACAGTATTAACAAAACAATAAAGTTGTCACAAATATTGGAATGAAAAGGAGGATAACTTGAAGGAAGGTGAGACAACATAAAAGTAGGTAAAAATCTCATTAATTTTAATTTAAAAAATTTAAATTTAAAAAAATTAAAAACTTGTAAAATTGACTTCGGTAATATCATATTACTAATATCAACAAAAATATAGTTGCAGAGCCGCTCAAAGACATTCCTCAAAATAAAATGTAAAATATTAAGTTTATCTCATTATCTTAAGTGTTTTGTAAATGTATTTTTAATTTGGCAGTTTACTTCGTATAACATGACTGTTATAAAAAGATCTGAGAGATCATAAACTGTAAGAGACCGTCATTAATGTATCTTTAGGTTACAAAACATGAAGTAGTACAGTAAAATAGATGAAAGTTTAGAGAAAAAAATCAGATCACCAGAAAAATAAGTAAAAATAAAGTTCTAAAAATTTTTAATTAAAAAAATGAAATTCTAGACGGTCATATTGCCTGTTATATTATTATTACTAATCCTAAGTTGTCAATAAGATTAATAATCCTAAAGTTTCATTAAAAAAAGCTATATATGACAAAGAATAAAAATTTGACAAATGATATACCCGTTTTAAAGAAATTGTATTTAAAAATGTTCTTTAGCTTATAATACCTAGCAAACGTTAGTCTAGATCGAAGATACTTTAATTTAACTAACTAAACCATTTTCTATGCTAATCTCATGAAAAACATTAATTTATTTATCAGTTACTAACTATAACCTTTAAAAATAGGCTTTTAATTGGTCTAAAGGTCGTAAACACAGCCTAAAACACCATAAAATGTCTTAAAAACCCTTAAAACCAAAGAATATATTGCTTGGAATCACATCAACTCAAAGAATATGCCCTGACATTAAAGTCAAATAAATGTACCAGTAATACAATAAGTACACTTATGGTCACTGAGACAAATGTGGCGTTACACATGGTAACAATAAGACTGCTATAAGCTTATTGAGTTCAAAAGCTTTAAAATGTTCTATTACTATAAGGAATTCCATAGTAAAACGTTTTTTTGTACTAGGTAAAGTAACAAAGAAAAAGATCTTATACTAAACAGTATAATGAAGAATCAACTTTGTGAACCAATGCTCATTTACGGCCCTACACATGAGCGATAGAGACCGGTGTATCCAAAGACATTGATTTGCCCATATGCCGACTGACACTCGACCTAGCCCCACTTGATGGGCTCCATTGTTGTACTAATGGTATCTTCTCCACCTTGTCGGCCGGCATATACGCCACCATGTTTTGCGTAGCCGTGGTAGGACTCATTGGTGGCTGTGTAATAGGACAAGCACCGTATCGGCCATTCTCACCGTACCCGGAATCCGCCTTAGGCGTGCTGCCGTTCGGTGGTTGTTGACCGGTCGAGTTCTCTTTACTCACTGACTTATGCCCTCCAGTATGAATGTATATGTTGGAGGTGCGGCGGTTAAACCCCACCAGACCGTCTTGTAAGTGGGTTGGGCCGTTGGAGAGACGTTGGAGGTGACCGGTTAGACCACGCATCGATTGGAATGACTGAGAACTTGTTGTGGAACGACGTTCGTCGAACTCGTCCAACGTGGAACGGAACGCCTTCACCACACGCAACTGTAGCCGCGGTTTATTAGTAAACATACAAACAGTGACAAAGTTTTGTGTTTTGTTTATGATAACTCAAATTGTTCTAGCGCCTAGTCTATGCTGGTTTGGCAAACTTAAGTGATTCAAAAAAAGTCAAAAAGTTCTAGCAAGCTTTGTAAATCTTAAAAATCAAATTTTTTTAAAAACATTTTTAAAAGAAAAATTTGATTTTAAGGCTCACATCGACTGTTTTTTTTTAACAGAAGTGTATCTTACGCTTGCACATGTTATAGTGGGTTAATATGCACTCGTATAGGTCAAGTATCTCAACCCTTAACGAAAAATAACGTATGCTAACATAAAATGCCACACTTGTTAGTTAGGGTATGTTAAACGCGCACCAACTCTGTTTCCTTAACGTACTAGTATAAATTTTAAAGTACTAAACTAATACAAAACCTAACGTAAACTACTGTATACTTTAAGGTACTAAACAGCTATAAAAACAAAGTATTTTAAGCTTGAGCCTGTTCTAAGGTCTGATAAAGCTACACTACTAGGTTTGGTCAAGTTATGGCTGCTATATTTCGTCAACCGTAAAAAATGTCTTTGAGACTTTAAAATTGGTTATATAAAAGCTCAAAAAGCTTTAAAACAAGATCCTAAAGCCTTTCCATAGAATAAAGCCTTCTTTTTAAATAGTAAAACCCCACCCTTTTTGATTCGAAAGACTTTCTAAATGAAAAACAAGCAATTCCTTATTAAAAACAAGGCGTTAACTCAAGATATACTATAAAATTTCCTATAATCCTTCTTTCCAAAACCAAAAACTAAAAAAGTACTAGAACTAGTACAAAAGGTCTATGTTCGAACTATAGCAGCCGATAACTCACATACAGCAGGGAAATCAAGAAGGAAAAAAAGCAAAACGTCTGTCGAATGCCGAAAAAAGAAGAAAAATTACATTGATCAGAGTCGACTGCACTTAAAGAATTCAAAAAAATAAAATTTAAAAATGAAAAATAAATAAAAAAATCACATGCGACTGCCCATGAACTTTGAAGAAGATAAAAAAAAATGTTGGCTGGTGCAAAAGTTCTTGGACTATATTTTTTAATTGGTTTAGCCAAAAAGAAGAAAAAAAAGAGTGTTTAGTCCAAGAACATTTGTGCCAGCCAAATAACTAAAAACCCAAACTAAATAAAACTTTTCTTGAAAATTCACAATCAAAAAGCAACGATACAGTGACTTTGGTTCACAACTTTAGCCTTGTCATAAGTTATAATTAATTTTTGATATAAAATTTTTAAAAACTAGCTTAAAATCAAAATTTCATTACTAATGTAAAATTAAATTCAAAAAAACTTTCAAATTTCAAAAATATTTCAAAAAATTTTAAACTAAAAAAAAATTTTTTAAATTTAAAAAAAAATTATATTTCAAAAAACTTGTACAATATTAGGTCATCCAAATAATTGTGTGCCCTCTAATCCCAAAAATTTTCTTTGAAATAGAGATAAAATTATCTGAAAAATCTAATAAGATAGTGGCCATAACACTATACTAAAATTTAGCTTTATACCATCATAATATTCAAAAACTGCTTTACTTTACTTAACTTTATTTACAAAATCAACAGTAAAATCTCTACCCTAATACCAAAGTCACGACCGTCCCAAAGCCACCAAGTACGACTAGTCATATTACAATCAAGTTTACCATAGTGTTTGTCGACTCCGATGTGGAAGAACGTTTTGCTTCGGATGCACAAGATAGATTTACAACCACAACATAGGTAATAAAGTACGAAAAAAAGGAATATACAAAGCTACAAAATAAAGAAAAAGCAGGCTGTTGAACATAGGATAAAGCCAACATTCAAGGCGTGTGATATCAAAGCTTAGTTTTACGTTTGTGGCTATGAAAAAGTGAAGTTTTTTTAATTTTAAAAATTAGAAATTTGTGTTTAGAAAAAATAATAATAGAACTTTAGGTTTAGTACAGTACCTTAATGTTTAGATCATATCTTTTGAGTTGGTGCACGTTTGAAAGTATATTACAATATGCTCGAAAAATCATTATAAGCTTGTTTTTAAAAGTTACGTTTAAGTAGTAATGTCAGTATTAATTATACTCCTTGTAATTAAAAAAGCGCAGCATTACTTTACAGTCCTAGTAGGCCTCTGCCTTCAAATTCTAAGCCAATACCTAAACATAACAGGGATTTTTGAGCCGCTAAAGTTAATGTAAGGCTAGCAAGGACAAAATTACTTCCTATACTTATAACTTTCGCCTCATAAAATTGAAGCTCATGAACTCACCTAGTCCAGAATAGTACAAAACTAATCTCAAAAAAATCATTTTTATCAAAGATTTAGGTAACAAAGATTCTATATTGTATTCTAGTTTTTAAACTTAAAAGAAAAACCTATTTCGTCAATGACTTTTGGTATGTGCATGTTATTACAAGTCTATATAGTGTTATATTTCGTTATTACGCAGTGTTTTTGAGACAATAACTCCATTCCATACTCTATATTCAAGTACATTATCAAAGTGTTCACCATATATCATTTACAAACTCCAGATCATAATCCTGATCAATCATTACCAAAAATAATGTGGACCAATCAATTAGTACCAACCAATTCGTACCAACTATTTCGTACCAATATGTTATACAACCAACAGTCATTACTAATATCCAATTACAATAAACTAATCATTACCATAACAAAAAATGACAAATTTCATATACGATCAAAATAAAATGACATTTCCAGCTACCGAAACAACAAAAAACAAACACAAATATAAAATACGCCACACAAACCAAAAAGAATGTCATATTCAAAATCGCAGCTTTGGTTGACCTTTTGTCATAAACGAAAAAGATTGTCATAACGCCAAAATCATTGTTCAAAAAATTAAAAAATACGACGAAATAAATAAAAAATGTACACTTTCCAAAAAAGATTACAAATCATAAGAAATCCGCTTTCAAAGTTCATGGTATGTCCGAATTTCCACAAATTTTGAATCATAATGTTAGTTTTTGTCATTTTTATGGATAAAAATGGTGATTTAAATTAGAAAAACTGAATTTAATGGTCGAAAAGTAAAGTTAGATCTATTTTCAACTCAAAATTATAAAAAATTTTTTTTTCAAATTAAAAAAATTTCTCCAAAAAAAAATTTCAAAGTAAAAACAAGCTTTTAATAAAAAATTTTTCCAAGTTAAGTTCATTTTTAAGTGACTGTCTGATTTACAATGTAACTTTCTTCTAATTTTCTCAAATTTTGCAAATTCTCCTTCCTAAAAACTAATTCTAAATTTTTTTTTAATATCTAGATTGATCAAAAAATAATTTTTTAAGTCGTCAGTAGCTTTTACTTGCCAAAATTATTCAAAATTATTATTTTTTTTCTTGGCTTTTCACGCCTTTTAAAGCATGAAAAGCCAAAAAAAAATATTTTCAAAGCCCAAGATCAACTAAAAATTTTGTTTTCCTAAACGTAATTCTGTGCCTATTTCGCTAGCCCCAAAATTTCTTCACTTAATTTTAATGGATCGATAAACTACTCACATTCTCAACTACTCCTCAATGTCATAACAGTCACTTTTTTTCAATTTTTCAACCAAATTCAAACAAAAACCAACCTGAGTTTGTAGCCGAGTCAGACCGCGGATCCATAAGATCTGTCCAGATCGTTTCTCGTGTGTTTCGGCATCATCGTACTCGTTGTTAAAGATGTCATCGGCCGACTCGCACTCACCCGAGCCAATGGTAAAGCTGTTGGGGATGCCACTAGTGGGGATTGTTGTTACTATCTAAAGTGGCATTTTTGGACCAGGAATAAGTTTAAAAAAGATAAAGAAAAAGTCATCATTAACTTTAAACCCTTATAAAATTTTCCAAAACCACAATCCGAAATCATATATTACTTCGAAACGTCCCTTAACATCTTTTCTTTAACTTAAATAAATCACCTTTCTACAAAAATCTTAAATTTCAAATCTACACTAATTTTATGCTGTAGTACTCACCTGTCCCCAAAGTAGATCTCCAACGCCAAAAGCCACGCACCATAACCATTGTTCTAGGTTTAATGGTGCTGTTGAGAACCAACGTCCACCGAATTGTACAATAATCACTTGTACAACCATTGTCACCACCCAGATGCAGTAGAAGATGGGGTTGGTAAACAGGCCCTAAAGAGTAATATTTTTTAAAAAAATAATAATTTTTCAATTTCCCGCCAAATTGGCATTGTGTTTGATGACTTTAAAAAGATAGTTTTTAACCATCTTTATTTTTTTTTGTAATTTCGTCAACCGTATAATACTAAAAAAATGTAAAGTACGACTACTGAAACACTGAACTTTTGAAAATTTTTAAACACTCTAAGAAGAGACGTATTTTACAACGCAAAATCACTCCCACTCCTTACCTGGAACACATTTCTTTCGCCATGAATCTTCCTCGCATTAATCTCGTTGAACAATGTCATCATGACGAACGAGTTGAACACAATGGTAAAGTGTTCAGATGGAGGCGAGTGAAGTGGAGCCCATCGGCCAGAATCAATGCCGAAGAACTTTTCACCAGCGAAGATCAACACAAACAGAATGACCAGCTGATACACAGCGTGACCCAGAATGTTCTTGCTCATCGTGCGCGAAATCAAAGGACTCGTTCTGCCGTACGGCTTCCTGTTCAGTAGATCCATCGTAGGCATTTCTGTAGCCAAAGCCAGTGAAGCCAACGTGTCCATGATCAAATTGACCCATAACATTTGAACAGCTTTAAGTGGTGTATCTTGAATGGCACAAGCTCCGACAAAAGCTACAACAACGGCTACAACGTTGACAGTAAGTTGGAATTGAAGGAACTTGGCAATGGAATCGTAGACGTTCCTTCCCCACATAACAGCTTTTACAATCGAAGTAAAGTTGTCATCAGTGAGGATAATGTCCGAGGCTTCTTTGGCTACATCTGTTCCGGCAATACCCATGGCAAAGCCAACATCGGCCTTTTTGAGAGCAGGACCATCGTTGGTACCGTCACCAGTTACTGCTACTACTTCGCTGAAATTTCAAAAACAATTATTTTAAAATTTTTTAAACAAAGATAAATTTACAAAAAGCCAAAGTTGGCAAAAAAAAGACAATTTTCCTAATTAAAACAATTTTGATAATTTAAAAAAATTTCTTACCGATTCTCCGAGACTTTACTGTCGATAATACCCTTGACCAACACGTATTTGTCTGATGGCTGAGCACGAGCCAATACACGTAGTCTAGGCCAAATTTGATCAAGCTTGGCTTGAGATACTTCGCCATTTTCATCACGGATTCTGAAAACCAAAGAAAATATTTTAGGTAACATTTTTTTTTCAAGGAACTGTGGTTTTTTAATATTTTAACCCTTTTTGAATGCGTATTATAACATTTAAAGTCAATATCCAATTGAAAAACTATAGTTTTAGCCCTAAAAAATCAAAAAACAATTTTAGGTAACAACCTTACCTAGCATTGAAGTCCTTTCCTTCCAAAGCAATGAAATCGTCTCCTGGTCTCAAGATACCACAAGCAGTAGCAATAGCTCTAGCTGTGTTAATATTGTCACCAGTAACCATTCTGACAGTAATTCCAGCCGACTGACATCGTGAGATGGCTTCTGGTACTTCTGGTCTTACTGGATCTTGAATACCAACAATGGCAACCAAAGTCATTTGACTGACAACATCATCTTCGTTCTCCCAGTCAATATCTCCACTGTAGTTCACTTCGTTTTCGGCTTGAGTTGTGCCTGGTCTGTAGTCTTTGTAGGCCAGTCCGATCGTACGAAGACCGTCTGAAGCCATTGGCTCAATAACTTGTCGTACCAGTCGTTCTTGGTCCTTCTCCGAGAATTTGGTGACTACACCGTCACGACCCAGAATCCATTTGCACTTCTTCAGGACAATCTCGGAAGCTCCTTTAGTGAAGACTCTGTAGCCACCGTGATCGTCGTACTTGTTCTCGAGCACGGTGCTCATGCTCTTTCTGACCGAGTTGAAGGTATAAACCTTGTAGATGGCTTCTTCTGGCGTCTTGTCTCGGATCTTCTGATAAGATTGTCCCAAATTGATGACGAATCCCAACATACCACACTCGGTCTTGTTACCTAGTTGATCCATCTGACCTCCGGCTTGTTTCGAAGGCAAGACTTGACTCGAGTAACTGGAGTTGATCGAGATCAAGTTGATCAGAATGTCACGAGTCTTAGCATTAAGATTGTCGAATTTGGGCGTTTCTTTGTAGTGGTGCTCGTTGATGTAGGATTGTACTACTGCCATTCTGTTAGTGGTAAGAGTACCGGTCTTGTCCGAACAGATGCTGGTTGCGTTACCCATGGTTTCACAGGCATCCAAGTGACGTACCAAGTTGTTGTCCAACATCATCTTAAATTTAGCAATAATTTAGTTTTTTAAATTTAAAAATTTAAATTTTTGTAAATTTTTATACCTAAATTTTCATAAATAAAGCAATATTTAAAGAACAACACCTTAAACTCAATAAAAATCCTTACCTTCTTGACGGAGTAAGCCAAACTCAACGTGACAGCCAATGGCAGACCTTCTGGCACAGCCACCACTAACACAGTGACACCAATAATCAAAGCATTGATAAAGAACTGCAGATCAGCCAAGCTGAATGCATGCCTTTCGATAGCGTAGTTCGAGATACAGAATCTGATGATCAAAATCAACACCGTGCATGCAGCCACAAACGATCCGGCATAACCAATTTGAATAGCCAATCTCGTCAGTTTAGCCTGAAGCACTGATCGTTCCTTCTTCTGTTCGCCTTCACCGTCCTTCTGAAGCGCGGCTCCTCCGGCGGCTCCATTGAAACCATCAAGCTTGATGTCTAAAACAAGTTAGTGGAGTTAGTTTATGTTAAGAACTGATAAGATACCCGTGCTTACAGTTAAAACTAAAGTAAAGTAACCACCCAAAAATGGAAACACTATATTATAGTACCCAAATAGTATAAAACAGAGTTTTTTGTTATATTTATGTTATAAAACACCTAAAATTTTGATATTTTTTCAACTTTATATCAAATTTCAAAAAAAAATTTTTAGGTAACAAATTTCTTCAAAATCAAAAACTATTTAAAATCCTTAAAAAATATACCTCAATCTCTTTTCAAAAATACTGAATAAGCTTTATATTATCATTAAAAATTGTTTTCACGTTATAAAACTCTCAAAAAAACAAAAGATCACAAAAATTGTCTACTACAACATCTACTACAATATAAAGCTCAAAATTTAGCTTTTCTTTACATAATAAAAAGCTTACAAGTTCAAAAATAAGCTTTACGATACGTATTTCTGCTAACAATGCCCAAAAACGGCCGAAAATATTAAAATCTGTTTTGATTTTACGCAGCTCGCGGCCTTGAGTTTTAAGGCAGTGCGGGCTGCAGGAATAAAAAACGTTATAAAAATCACAAACCTTTGTCTCTTTGAGTAAAGTTTACCAATTTAAAAAGGAAAATACATCCAAAAATATGTATTGGTACAATTATTACCACATTTTATTATTAATGGTACTAATTATCATAAATTCCCTAATAACTCTTGTTTTTACTCAAATTTTACCCTACCTTCAGTATGCAACGAAAAATATTGACTCGCATACAAAAACGACTACCTTACAATAAAAGTACTCAAAATTAAAAGCCATATATAGTCTTACAACACTGATCAACTTACGATCTTCGGTGAGGAGGGCTTGTTTGGTACCGTCATCCACAGTGATGGCGGGTGGTTCAACGCCTGAAGAAACAAATCAATTCAGCACAACAAAGCCTTTAGACCGCTTCTGACAACGTGATTAAGCAATTTTATTTTTTTTTGATTTTATTTTTGAAAATTTTCAAAAAACTTCAAAAATTCAAATTTATTAAGACAGTTTATTAGGCTGTTCAAAAAATCCTGCGCTCCGTTTTAAAGCTAATTTTTGGAGTTAGGGGCGCAAAATTATTTGAACAATCTTTACCATAGTTAAAAAATCAAAAAAAAATATTGTTGTGTTCAGTTCTGATGCATCACATATACCGTACCACAAATAATCACCTATTACTGCACCTTTTACCAAATATTAAGCTGACGAATAAATTATAAGAGAAAGACCTTGTAAAATACGATCGTGAAATAGTAGCCATAACTTCGTTACTACTATTATACTAATTGTCAAAAATTATTAGTGAGACGTTAAAAAGCATATATAAATTGGCGACACCTCACACGTGATATAGTAATACGAAACGAACATAACATAGTATATGGCACATACGACAGTCGACTATAACTAAATCGTTACGATACTACGTTTTGAGAGCTAATTATTGATTTGAAAATTATTAAAATTTATCTAAAATTTTTATTTTTCTACTGTACTTTTAAAAATTAGTCTAAAACTAATCTAAAAAATTTTAGTTTCAAAAATCCCGCCAAATTAGCAATGCTTGGCATTGTGTTGCAATTTAGTTTTTTGTCAACTATATGAAGTTTATGAAGTAAAAACGTGTTTTATACTACTTTTTGTAAATAAAAAAACTAAAAAAATTTAAATTTTCAAAATTCCGCCAAATTGGCAATATTTGGCACTGTGTTCAAACAAAATTTTTAGACATTTTCAGATACTGTATAGTACTAAAACATATGTTTTATTGTTTTTTAGTAATTAAAATGTGTTTTTATTGTTCTTTTAAATAAAGAAAATTCAAACTTCATATAATCCCGCCAGCTTTTGGCATTCTGTTTGACTCTTCCATATTAAGCTTAAAAGTTAAAAAAATAAAATTTATAACCCTAAAGTACCAAAAAAGATCCACCACCCAATGAATCACACCATCTTACCTTCCAAACTTCCAGCGTATGGAATGGAACGTCGGATTCGCACTGTAAACCAATGTTAATATAAAGGATAATGTTACTGTTGAAACTGATTAGTACAGAAGGAATTAATAACGGAAAAGGTTGATGGTAACTCAATTATTTGTAGATCAAAAGCAACTGTGGAAAAAATAAAACTTGTGCATGTTATTTTAAATTGTACTGTACTATTCAGTATGGTACTGTAAGTCATACTAAGAATAGTATAAAATATAAAATGTTAGGTAAAATTTAGTATAAAAAAGTAGTTAATACTAAAGATTCTCGTGCAGTTTCGTTATAAAGAAAGATCTAACACAGCACTTAGATATGTATAATGACTCGTACTCGTTTTTACTACTACCTAGTACTATAAAACCAAGGAATATATAAGGATAAGCAAAGGGCAATGCTAAGATGTTAGACATGTTTCACAGACAAGTTATTACGGTTGTACAGAGACAATGTATAGTACTCCGCTTACCTGATGCCTTGCTTTTACGTCGAGTACGTCGATCTAAAACAGGCAAAATTTAAGTTTTGTTTCGATTTCGAATACACCAAAGCGTCACAACGAAAAACCTTTGAAATTCATCGGAAAACGGATAGTTCAGCACTTTGAAATTGAAAAAATATGGCAATGTTAACATGATAGGACGGTTTGTAAAGTACGAAATGTGTTAGCGACCTGCGGTTTAAAATTTGAAACTTGTTTATAATATAGTACTAAAAAGCGTACTAAAAAGTTGAGTACTAATAAAGTACTTTTTGAAAACGCCTTTTTAACTAATAATGTTGTTAAAGGTAAGTAGCGGAGTTAAAATAGAATTTTGCAAAAGTACAGTAAGCAATATACTTAAGCTTACCACGTTAGCTAATAAGCGACTTTTTAAAAGTTGTATTGTTTAACAAGTTCAAAATTTTGAAAACTTCATTTTGTAGCCTAAAACAACAATATTTTTACTTTGTTCAGCAAATTGTACATAATACTGTGACCTTTTTCAAATTATCATACTATGACCTTTTCAAAACCCAAAAACTTTTTTTTAAACCTTTATATCAAGGTTAATATCAGTCTAAATCAACCTTCTTCTAGCCCAATCCTCTTCATTTTTAACCCTCAAACCCTTCAGCCTAGTACACCAACTAGCCAACAACTCGAGCGTATAGTACGTAATAGTATACAGCCATGCAACAGAACCGAACACAAGATAGAGCAACGAAACGCCCGACAACCCCAAAACAAACCTTCGCGCTTCTGCTGCTTCCGCTCTTCTTCGGCCACGGTCTTGGCCGCTCCAAGCAATGTCATAATGATACCAGTTTGGGAGTTCACACCCACGGCTGATACCAGCATTTTACCACTGCCTTCCATAACGTGAGTACCGGACAGGAGCATGGGGTCGTGGTCAGGGGATTTTCGGATCAAATCGGATTCGCCGGTCAATGAAGACTCGTCGATTTTCAGGTCGTTGGCTTGGATCAGGATACCGTCGGCGGGTAAGAGGTCACCTGTAAGGTAATTTAGTTTTATCAGTACAAGTTGTGGTTAGAAGACTTTCCATTTTAGAAAAAAAATCAAAAAAAATTTTTTTTATTCAACAGGGGGCTACGTTCAACTTTTTCCAAAAAATTTTCTAAAAAATTTTTGAACAAACAAAATCCATTGATATTGACTAACTACGCCACAATTTACACCTTTCTATCTTTACCTAAATATCAAGTAAAATCTCTGACATAAACCCCTTACCATATTTGATTTGAGCAATATCTCCCACCACAAGTTCGTTGACGACGATTTGAATCGAATGTCCATCACGAATCACCGAAAACTTGTGTTCGGTTTCGATTTTAGCCTGAAGTCCGCGGAATTGTTTTTCTTTCGTATAATCGTTTAATGCCGTTACCAATACTACAACAACTACTGAGATGAGGATGGCGACACCCTCGATCCAGCCGGCATCGTGCTCCGACTCGTCTTGGCCTGGAACGGAAAAAAATTGATAGCGATATCAATAGAGAATATGGCATCAAAACATAAGTGGCATGTTAATGAAAACAAAATTTTTTAAAATTTTTTTAAAACAAATTTTAATTAAAAAAATGTTTTCAACAATTAGGTCTACTATACCCATCCCTTACCTGTGCCATCGTCGGGCGGTCGATAAAACGACAAAGCTAATGAAATAAAGGCACTAACTAACAAGATGATTAAGGTCGCGTCCTGAAGCGCTTCCCAGACCAGCGTCAGGAAGCCCTTGGGCGGATGAGGTGGGATTTCATTGGCGCCGTAGACTTGTCGCCGGCGCTCCAGCTCTTCGGTCGTGTTCGGGATCCCGTTCACGGGGTCCGTGTTCAGCCGCTTGCATAGGCCTTCGGTGCCGCCGTAGTCGGTATCGATGCGCTCCTTGCCTTCGGCGCCTCGGCACTCCATCAAGGAGCGGAGGTCGTCCAACGACACCCCGTAGCTCATGTTTTCACGACGCCGTGATGAGCTGTAGTCGAGGTTTCGGTGGTTGGTTGGTGTGAAGAGAGGAGGGTTGAGGGGGGAAAATGGTTCTACGCAAAACTACTCTCGCTGATTGTAGTTAGGTTTATTTCCGACCAGCCCTGCAATTTGGTTGAGTTATACATGGGAATTAATGAGGGTTAGCGAACGGTTGGATATTGAACGATCATATATGATTTTTTTAAATTGTGTTTTACCTCGAAAAACCAACATATCAAAAATTAGCAAAACGCCCATAAGACCAAGATTCTGACCTCAACGTGTCCTAGTCCAAAAAATAAAAAGGAAAAAAAGAACTGTAATATTCATGAAGATTCATGACATCCAAAGTCAATTTTACGCGTAGATACTTAAAGCTCGTGCCAAATATATCTACAAAAGAACTCCTCTGTACCAAAGCTCCTCTATAACAAAAAAATTAAAAATTTCCGAGCGATACAATACAGGAGATTGACTGCGCTAAAAAAGTTTTAAAATTGTTAGCTCTTTCAAAAATTTTTTGAGAATTATGCTTGATTCTCCTTAATGATCTTCACAAAAAACCTATACTTAATTATCCTTAAAACCAAAAATTTTTTTCTTAATTATCTTATACAAAAACCCCTGTAAGTCCAAATCATCTCCCGTTCCACAATACCTTTCAGTCCCTCCAATGACCAACCAAAATAACGTAGACTAATTCCCCCAATCCAACCTGAAAACGGCTCCAAAACAAGCCCAAATATACGTTAACCGTCAATTACAGACCGATACATAAGCGCATTAGTATATTTTTGTTTTTTCTGTGTTACAATTACCTCATCCCGGGCCGGGGGGAAGGAATGAAATGAAAAGCGAATAGGGACAACGAGTTTATTTATGGGCCGGAATGTCAGAAAATAAGATGAAAGGGTCAGTTTAGGGGAACGCTTAATGGGGAATGTAAATGATATACAGTAATGGGTGTCTACAGGTCGTGGTAAATAATATTTTGGCAAGATTTTTTTTGGGTGTGGCAAATAAATGTGTGAAAGATTTGTTTAAAAGTTTAACGTGTTTCCCCTTGTTGTTTTAATACTTTTTTCATTTTTAACCTAGTATCAACCTGTGACATATTATTAACAAACTATGTCATAGATACCTTTTAATAAGCTGTAAAATAAAAAACTGTTCTTTTATTTTTCTCCTCTTTCTACTAATTAAAAGCAACCCTCAAACTTTACCGCACCCATTTGGCTACCTAGAGCACACGGAACAATATGCTTTCGATCAAACTCAAAAACCTATAAAAATGTAGTACCAGTGTCAGGATGAGCGAAGACATTCTTTGTGGCGTCACACACAGTTGTGTCGGGCTTTTCCTCCTCTCCCCCAACTCTTCATGCCTTGGCCCTAACCCGTATGTCTGCCCCAACCTACGACTCTGCCCCAATTCGCATTACCTTTGCCCTAACCCTCCTCAACCTTCAGCCCCAACCCTCAAAGTCCTCGGCCCCAAATCCTGCCTTATCCCCAACCCGCATTGCCCCTGTGGCAGTCGAAAAAAACACGGGCACGTCGCGTCACGGCCAAAGCTTTTGTCGTTCGATTTTTGAGGACGACGAGGCGCGGGAAAGGGCTGGAAAAAACGCTGAGGAAGCATGCACGACCCCCCGGGTCAATGTCAAGCGGATGTCGAATGTGCGGTCGGGACAAAGCGCCGCCTGAAGCCCCCCTCTAGCCTTCCGTGGCACACGCTGTGGGCCCCGCAGGCGCGTTAAAGAAGCCGAAAGGGAGGGAAAGCACGACGGCACTAGTGGGTTTTTGCGGGGAAAAAACTCAATTTTCAACGCATTTTTTGAGGGAAAAACTGTTGTTGTAGGGGTTGTTTTACAGAGCGAAAAATGATAAAAATATAAAATTCTAAGCTTAACTTCGTTATCTTAAAAACTGTACCAAAATTGAAAAAAATGAAAAAATTTCTTTAACTGTAAAGTGTTCAACTTATTGAAATCAATTAGTTGTAACCTACTACAACATCTAAAACTTTGATTAAGAAGTAAGGTATAAGGTACATCCACCTCAACTTAAAAATCTAAAGGACCCCTTCAATACTCAAACTTCCCCCAAAGGACCCCCTCAACGTGAATATCGTCCCCCAAAAGTAGCGTTTCGGCATCTTCTGTCCCCACGTTTTGACGCCGGCTTCTCTCTTCCACTGGTCGCCCCCACCCGACGACTTGCGGCAAAAAAGAAAATGGCATGCCGTTCTCTTTTTCCCCTCTCGACCTCTGAGTGTGTCGCCCCGTTTGTTTGTGTCCCGAATGCCGGAGGTTTGCGTTTCTGCATTTTGATGGTGGTTGTGGTATTTGGATTGCGACTATATAACTTTACAATGCAACTAGATGTTGAGGATCGTTTAGTACTAACTTATTTCTTCACTAAAAATTTTAAAAAAAATCTTCAGCTTTCTAAAAGTGATAAGAAGACAATTTAAATTAGAGCAAGGTAGAGCTGACGTGGGGTATTCAAGATTAGACAAGGTTATTATTTAAGCTAAAATATGCATAAGGCAGTTTTAGAGCTAGAGTAAACCTAAAAAAAGATCTAGGATAAGACCAAAGGTAGGGCAGGCTAGGATAAATCTAAGGTAAATATAGGGTAATACTAGAGCAAAGCTAGGATAAGGTTAAAGAAAAAAAGAGAGAGATGATTAGGCTAAGCTTATACCTATAAACCCCTATTGTAAACGAAAAAAAATTTAAAAAAAAACAAAATTTCACCTTCAATTTACTTTCTTTTATCAGCTGAGTTTTTAAAAATACTACTTCGTACTTTTAAATACTAGCGTCTACTATGTTATGCGTTGCTTAAAACTACGCAAAATGATCAAAAACACCTGTGTAACTTTTGTTGTTGTTGGTAGTCGAGCAAACTACGATTAATTTTAACTCATGATACTATAAGAATACAAATAAAAAACGTAAAACTGCTTAAAATATATATGAAACACGTAATAAACAACGCCATGCCAAACTATAAATTAAAAAAAAGCAACTAAAGTTTATAGAAACCATTGTCAGTATTACATTGTCAGAACAGCTAAACTACATTTCAAGCTTCAAGTCTACTCAAAACTTGACGTAAAAACGATAAACATATTAGGTCTTTCACTTAATTCTGTGCCCTCTAAGACAACGTAAAAGAATATTAAACATAATACAATGTAGAAACCTAAAAAAAACTTTGACACGCACTTCTTAATTATGTAGAAATTGTCAATTCCGTAGAGAATACAAATACAAATTACCTACACAAGAGTATAAAGCATTCTGAACTAAACCCCCTCCTACATGCTATACTCAAAGTTTTTTTGGTAGTTGTTTAGCATCAAAAGATAGACCATAGAAAATATGATTAATATAAGTTTACCAAAATTAAATTAGAAGATTGCAAAAAAATGCTTTGGTTTAGGTAATGTACTGACTACTGACTTACGTTAAAAAAATGTAAAAAAAAAGCAAAAAAAAAATTAAAAAATTTTCGATTGAACGTCCTTTCCTGCCAAACAAAAATTGTCGTCATATTTACATTTCTAATCATAAAAATGTATCCAACAATGCCCTCACCCATAATTCACTTACCCTCCTCATAATAACTGCGTAATGTTGACACTTTTCCTTTGACTCAATTCGAAAAAATAAAATATTTGATTCGAAACGCGGCCGACAAAAAAGAGAAAAGAATTTTTCATGCCAACCACAAACATGGTCACCCCCTCGTCCGTCCATTTCCCATACTTGAGCTACTTTCCGTGCTTAAACAGCACGCTCTTTTCGTTTTTGCAGCACGATGCCCGCCGGCCTTCCACCAAGCCACGAAGAGGGGGGGGGGGGGGAAGGCCGAAGCAGCAAGACGCACCAAAACGAAAAAAATGAAGATTTGTCTCAAAAAGAACGTCTTTACAACGTTCTCAAATTCGGCCGCCCCGGTCGATGATAAGTACGCTGCAGGGCCGGATTCAGAAGACCAAGAAAAAACAGTCTCGAATTTCGCTTTTTTCGAAAATTCCCAGGACTTTCGAATAACAAAATAAGAGAATTTGTTTGAATTAACCACTTTCACGTGCGTTTTGTACGTTTAAGGAAGGTTCAAGTTGTTTTGACGTCTTAAAGATGGCCTTTTGAGTACGAGTGCTTAAGGAAATAATCAGAAGCTACTCAGAACGTTTGCATGAATTCTTTGCAGTAACAATAGCTTAATTAGAAAATCATTGTTTAAGCTTTGAATTATGGAAATTCATATTTAAAGTTCTCGTCAAATTGGCATTTTGGCGTTGTGTTTCACTGAGTTTTTTGAAGTTACAGGTAAAATAGACTTAAAAATTTAAAAATATGGCTTTATTTAAAGATTTTTTATCGGTATGGTCCCAGAAAGTTATTGTAAATTAAGAAATGACAAAGTTATAAGCTTGCAACACAATGCCAAATTGGCGAAAAATTCAGAAAATAATTTTTTGAAGGTTTTACACTTACATGTGTTAGTATAGAACAAAATTTACAATTGTAAGTTGTAATTCTTTGTCCCTCCTACTTTCACCCACTTCCTACAAAACAACCCACCCACTACTCATACTGTACACAATTATTTGCATCTCCTAACCTTAATATTGTCAAACCCTGCAGTCTTTTGCTCTTGTTTTCACCTCCTTCCTCCTAACAAATCAACTTTCAAACAGCAATAAACATCCCCAAAAATAATACGAGTAAACAAACATCACCCGCAATCAAAACTGATAAACGAACTTTAAGGCTTGTTTTGCAAATCAACTTTTAGTGCTTTTTGCTTAACTTGACAAAGGTTATTGGAGGTTTGAAATAAAAAAGTGAGCAAGGTAAAGAAAAGGATATAACCTGCAAGAAAACAAAAGGAAGGTTATAATCTGGACAGTGCCGGATTGATAATTGTTGATAGAAAGGAGGGGGAAGGGTAGAGGACAAGGAGGA